AATGGCTAAATCTAACGAGTTCGCTTGTAAGAATATCGCGCCGACTTTAATTTCATGAAGCGAGAGAAACTGCCCTTAAATGTCTCGTTAACAATCGCATTATATTTTTTTACAGTCTTATTTTATTGTTAGCGAACGTCTCTATTTTAGAATATTTCATTATTTCTTCAATTTCGGGACTAATACTTTTGTAACCAGTTTACATTACGATAATAAGATAAGTTTTCGAGATTGAAAGGCGTTTTACTGTAGATTATTCTATTCTTTTTTAATTACTTTTAAATAATATACACTTGTAAGCACTGCTAATGACTTTGCATTGAATGTGTAGTATATTTTAATTTATAAATAATCGAGAGAGAAGTATATAATAACCATAAATAAAATATAGCAATGCTATGTAAAGTTATTAGTGCACTGATCTTTTCAAGTGGAATAAAAGTCAAACGGGACGATTACTATTCTTCTCATTTTCTAAATCTGTTTCTTATCTATGTTATCTATGTGCCCAACATTTGCCGTATCGCAGCTGCGCTCGCGAGTGCAATATTTCGCGCAATAAAGAAGTCGTTAGGTCGAGATAAAAAATTTCATCTGGCTGCGTGTAAGTTTATCCGATCCAGACGGTTCCCCGCCATTCTCCACAATCGCGGAATTTACATTCTTCCATCACCTCGCCGGTCGAGCTTCGCTTGGAACTCGCAGTTCATTCCTCGTTGGATCTTACGTGTCCCGAATACGCGAATCCCCCGGGAAAACTGTCGCGGAGTAGCAATCTTCCTAAAAAGTCGCTTCGTTTTGACGCAAACGAGGTAAAGAATCGACTGGCACAAGGCTGAAAATGTCCGCTTTTAAGATGGCCTTTCGATATATAGAACGGCTTGAACGTGCAGGTTTAGAAATAAACTCTTTCGGAGATAAATCATTTACTTATATATGACCACCATATTTTTCTCACATACAAGTTGAAAATAAATATAATATATTTGTCCGTAACTGCACTGAACAAAAAACTTCTTTAAACTAAGTAAATAGATTTACTTAAAATTATTTTTTTACTAAAGTAAATATTCTATTTAAATAAAAATATGAAATTTCAAGTAAATCTGGATCGTGGGTTTTTTTTCTTGAAAGTTCTTTTATTCCAATGATATTTCTTTAACTGACAATCTGAGCGAAATATCCCCGTTCTATCTTATGCGTATTTTATCATGTAGTTATATTAAAATTGAAATTAATTAAGATTAATTAAAATAACCGCTTATTCACATTATTTTTCGACGTGTGTCTCTTTTGTTATTAATTTTAAATACTTTGATACAAATAGTTAATAACATTAATAATTAAACCTTACATTCTGTGAAAAACTGGCCTGTCTTTATTCGCAGACGGTGTTGGAAATAGCGTTGGAAACATTTTTCAAAAAATATCAAAGAAAAATAACATTGCGGAACCGAATTTAATCGTCATGATTTTCGCCACGTTTAATTTTCCGTCTCTTGGTTATTACCTACTTTTCGGCACACGTACATTGAGCTTTCGTCGCAACTCCGTGGTGAGGAATGTCTCCAGCTTTTTTTACCTTCTTAGATTTGGCCGTAAAGAAGGAAAAGTTGAGGCACTTCCTTCACAGGGAAGACGGGCGCCGAAAGGCGCAGTCGGGGAAACTCGATATCGAATTTTCTCGCTACATAACACACGCGAGATGAATTCACAGCGTCGTTTCGGTCTGTATACGCGAACGTAATAAATATTTAATGCGCGCGTAATGTGCAGGGTGCATCCGACATTGAACACCTTACCATTTCTTACGGCTACAAACTTTTCTACATATTTGTCCCCTCCGGAAAAAATTTCACGCGATCGTAGTTTATCGCGGCTCTTATTTCTACGCGCGCATTCAACCTTTCCCGATTAACGCAGTGAGGCAGTCCGCAAGCTTCCCTGGAATTAGTCGCTTCGTTGTCAGGAAGACCGCGAATGGCAGATTCTCACGAAGTGGATTTTCTAGTGACCGATTTTTCTGAGGACTACACCCATTTCTCATAATTTGTAATGCTCACGCGAAAAAACACCATCCAAAGATTCCGATGATCGACGATGTCGTTTTCTGTGAAAATAAAAATGCAACGTACGAATTGCGATAATAAATTCGCATCTGTAAAGAAACGAAAACACGTTCGCGTGATATGCGGCGCGCAATTTATTCTTCCATTCCGTCCATTATGTTTCATAGTGCTCGTCTTCCGCGCTACATTTTGTTTTTAAGTTCCAAAATCAAATGTATTTTAACAATCGCTCGAGGAGTGACCATTCGTCATAATTACACAAATTCATTATTCATTTTCAATTAATATTGTATTTTACGATAACTTGTCTCGTGATATTAGTACACTGACAAAAAATTTTTTTTTTAACCGAGTAAATAGATTTACTTCAAATTACTTTTTTACTGAAGTAAATATTTATTCTATTTAAATAAAAATATCAAATTGCAAGTAAATCTGTGTATTACATTAAGTAAATTAATTTAAATCACAACATTTTCTACATTCAACTAAAAATTTCATGAGATAGAGAATACTATTTATTAAATAAAATCATTGTTTTCGTCAAATAAGAAATCCGATTTTCTTTACTGTAAAACTTATTATATCTTAGTAAACATTTTATAGAATTAAGGTAAAATTTTTTTAATTTAAAATTATCTACTGTTTGATATTTAATAAATATAATACTTAAATTAAAGAAATGTATGTTTAATTTGTTTATTATTTTTTTTAATTTAAGTTAATAAGCTATTAGGAGCCACCTAATAAATAATTTTCTTGAGTAAAGTAATATTTTTTTTGATTAAGATATTGTTTTATCAGTGTATTTATACTATATAAGGAAATGTACGTGGAGAGAATTTTCTCTTAAAATTTGTCCTGAAAATTATGTGATCGTGGGACAACAGGGAGGTTGGAGAACTTCATGTATTTTTACTAGTAAAATTTCATAAAGCAGTCACAAAACTCTTCGGAACGCCGTGTTGCGCGATTAGGATTTTCAGGCTAAATTTTAAAAGAAAAGTCTCTCCGTGTAGAAGAAACAGATTCGAGATGAATTTGAGTTTGTAGCCGATGTTCACCTTAAGTTTTTAAGATTCATCTTCGAAAAAAAAAATTACACGAATGACGATCGATTATCCGCGATCAAGCGTGTGACGAATAGTTACTCGCAATCAATTCGACGATCCATTTATTCACTCGGACAGATTAAGCCGCTCCGTAACACCGTTACAGCGACTTTCTTGAGAGGTCGATGCGAACCGTCCTGCCAGATCGCGCTAATTTTTGACGGATTTGTGAAAAATGAGCGACTTTACGAGGTTATCGGCCGGTTACGCGAACACGCGAAAATCCATATCAGACCGACATCAATCATCTTGATTCACGCCTGATATTCTCGGCGCCCTTCGATTCGCCCGGGGAGGATAATCCTGACGGATATTCCTCGGGAACGAAACCTTTCTCTAGGATAGGGAACGACTAGGAAGACGCGTCGGAGGATTATGCCGGCTTCTTAAAGTATGAGAACGACTTCATCGTCGAGCGAAAAGGGACATCCGCTTGGCTACGATAATAACAGATATTAGATCCTTAATCCCGTAATGGGAAAAAAAACACTTGCTTCTAGAATTTTATGCGCGAACGATCGCTATCAATTTTCCAATCGCTTTTCATTTGTTAATTAAAGTCGGTACTTCCTCAGAAGTCTCATACTCTCGTAAAGTATGATGTTGCCACTTAGAATTAATACAGAAGGTTTCATAACTCGCAACCTTAACTTTTACGTTTCTTCCCACGAACTTGCAATTTCCTTTATTGAAAATTCGAGATTGTTACGTGCAATTATCTAACGTTTTACACATCTTTATCAAGTCTCGAATAAAACTTCTATTAAGACGCATTTGAAATTAGGCAATCAAGGCTATTCCGTTATTTATTATAGTCTTCTTTAAAATTTAATTTACGATGAAAAGGTTTAGGGTTATTTATAATTCGGAATCTACTTTCATTGGCAGTTTTGCTTAAAAAATATCTCAACTTCGTCAGAGATTCTATAATTCCAATTAGAATCTGTGAACTTATATCTTTTATATTACCATTCAGAGATCTTTTTACACCAAGTCTGCTTAAGTTCTGCCTCTATTAACGTCCGTGTCATTTACGCACAATTCTACAATTTTGCTTGTAACATTATTTGTCATTTAATTGCTTAATTTTTTTACACGAAACATGATTAGATAATTGTCCCGCGTGCAAGATCGATTCCTTTATTCATGACCCGATAAAGTTTTCAATTAGCTGCGGTTGATCCTATGCAAAGTTCGACAAGTATCATGTATCGCACACAAAGCAAAAGCTCTATAAACTTCCTGGTAAAAGCCGTGTTCGGCTCGTAAGCTGCTAAATCCGTTAGCTGTTTAACTACAGGTTACTATATTCTTGCAATCTTGCTTGAGAATATGTTACGCGTACCGTACACGTACCGCTGTGCGTCTACAATTTTCTGATTATTGTTTGCTCTTTGAATATTTATCATGTGTACTTCGTACGCTTTCGACAATTCTCTTTTAACATCGAAATCCTCTCATACACAAATTGTAAGTACGAGATCGTTGCGCGTGTAGTGTATCTCGAATAAACCATGCTAGAGTTACGATCAAAGCTAAAAGTAACATTTATCATCGAGCAAATGTTAAGTTAATATCGCCGACGTGTTCATCGAGTTTCAAAGAAGAATGCGCGATATAAAGAAATTGTTACTCAAAGTACCATGTTTTAGCATTGTTTAAGTTGAAATCGACTTTCATCACGTATTTGCTTCGCTCTCCAATTAAAAACTATTGTTACGTAATGACTTAGGCATTTAACAGTGTTTGATAAATAAAATTAAATAGTCCTGCTGTAGTTGAAGCGTGATAACAATTAAGTGTCTCTCCATTGTTTCAGACGGACTACAATCGGCATCTCGAGCAACTGTTTGAGCACGTAGCGACTTTACTTATCGAGAGTCTGCAAACAAAGATAGCTATCGACAAATTGGACCAAGTTGCCGAGCTTCATGAGCGTCTGGAGCAAGTGCGACACTTATTCGGTAAGTAAAACGAATTTATACCGTCAGGAGAGGCTCCCTTTCAGAAGGCTTCCCTCTCTTGATGACAAAGACAAATCTGATTTTCTTCATTGGAATAAAATGTTATCGCTCGCCATCCGTTTGTGCCGCCAGATGAAAACGTCGCCGGCAGAACAATGGCCGCGGAAACCAAACTATTCTTACACAAAATCGAGGAACTGTCGAAATTGGTGTCGGCAATGAGGCTTTGTGAACCTGCCCGCGAGTCGGAGCTAAGAGATATCGAGTCGAGGTTGAGGAACTTGTCGATTTTCGTCGAGCAGGATAAATGCCTGAATGCCGGCGGAAAGTTCGAATGGGTGGACAGTGTGTTGGTGAAGGTATTCCATCAATGACACGCTTTTATTATAGATTTCCTTATCACCGAAAGCTGCAGTTCCATTACTAGAATTTACGAGTCCGCTTTATGGTACCGTACGGTGCTGCGCGATACTAACGCACGTGGAAAAGCGTCGCGACAATGTTGCTTTAAATTATTCATTCGGTACTTCGTGGCCCCCGAACTTAATTTAGGCAACTTTGATGCGTTATTTTTTACGATGCTCCTCATATTTTACATACCGCGAGCGATAAAGTCGCGCTACTTCGAACTTAACTTCGCGCTACCTTTCGCAATATTTTAGCCTTGACACACGATAGCGTAAGTATTGCGAAAGTTTTAATAGAGTCAAAAATTGCGGCCTCTGAAACTTTGCCCCGACGCGCGAAACTATTTCACCATTTACACATCTATTTTATTGCATCTCCTCTTTACTGCATTTTACCGTAGCAGTCAAGTTAAAGTGAAACGTAAATGTTCATCCGATTATTCTGCAATTACGCGATATATCGAAGCAGTTTAAATCCGTTGTATCGTGTAAGTTTTTTTTTTGTAATACCATTATAACTTCTGCTTATCGCATCCGGAGACATGTCGCTGTTATGTAGTCTCGATTTTCAATCGGCGAAAGTTCGCTGAACGAAACTTCGTTTCATCCAAAGACATATAACGGAGTCGTCTTTTAGTGCTTGCAGGACGGAACTTGGCTGCTCATCGACCAGGTTAATCTATGTAGCCCCGCTGTATTAGACAGACTTAATGGATTGTTGGAGCCAAACGGTGTTCTCAGTATCGGGGAACGAGGCGTTGATGACAAAGGCAATGTCGTTACCATCAAGCCGCACGAAAATTTCCGCCTATTTCTAACCATGGATCCCCGATGCGGCGAGATTTCCAGGTGATTTATCTCTCGGCAGCCCAATGATTAAATTGTGCGATTTCGGGCGCATTAATCGTGTGCAAAAGTCGTAAGAACAACTAGGAATAAGAAGAAATAAAAATTGGGACCTGTTATCGAAAGTATGGTAAAAACGTGTATTCCAACAAAATATATGAGACATAATGTATCAGTATTATTCGGTAACAGATTCCCATTGCCCTTTTATTCCTAATTGTTTTAGTCTTGGAGCCTATTATAGCTTATTTCTAAAAGTCGTAAGATTAATTTACTATTCCACTTCGAAAATATTGCATCGTAAATTCTTGCGCATTTTCCCTTGCATGTTTCATTTTCGCCAAAATCTGACACAGAATGAAAAATTGCCAGCCGAAGACAGCAACGTTACGTTGTAGTATGATAAAAAGTGCGTGACGATAATTTAATATTGTGCACTCGGCATATCGCAATGGAGTTTTGAAAATTATCTTACGAAATCGAGGGCAGTTATATCTTAATAATAATTTTATATCGTTATCGCGTAATACGAAACACGATCGGCAATTTTAGGGCCATGCGTAACAGAGGCGTCGAGATTTACATGCTCGGCCCGAAGGAGAACATCGACGAGAACGTGATCGATTTCAAGTCGCTGCTGCTTAACGCCGGCATCACAAAGTCCGCGCATCGCGACGCATTGCTCGAGATCCACGGCCGAGTGTCGGAAGAGATCGTCGCCGTGGACCGATTCAGCGCGGTCGATTTGGTGCACGCCGCGTTCCTGATGAGGCAACGATCGCTGCGCGGATTCCCCGCGGAGCGATCCATCAGGAACGCGTGTCTCGACGTCTACGTGAGGTCTAGACCGTCGCGAGATCCGCGATTCAGAGAACACCTGACCTCCCTGATCGACGAGACCATTGAGCGACGTGTCGCCCGAAGAGACGACAAAGAGATGTCGGTGATCGACCTGGATGCCGCCACGTGGAGCGTGAAGAACCTGCAAGACAATTTGAGACTCACTATAATCAGGCAGCAAGGCCTGCTGCTGAACGCTGCTATCAAGATGCACGAGTCGTTCCTGAAATCTGACTCTGGAGGAGACGTTACAACGAAGCCGTTGAACGACTTCTGCGGTCTTGAGGAGGACGAAAGGTTGGACATTGACGTTGCTGATGTGTTGCCGTATCTCCTCCTGAATTTTTACGAGCAATCCACGCGGGACGACGCGCCGCTGCGAAGGGAGTGGATCTCGAGGTTGCTGCGAGGTAACGCGATGCTCGGCGATCTCGAGGAGAGGAGCGCGCTAATGACGAAGGTAATCGCGCTGTTTTGCCCCGAACCTGCGAACGCGAGGAGCTCGTTACCCTGGGATTTGCGCCGGCTCGTCGGAGGAACGACACGCGATGAGGACGACGGTGCTTGCAGGGGCGCGAATAAATTATTGCTGTTGCTGTACGCGTGCGGTATGATTTTAAAGAGCGATGCATCGCGAAAGAAGACGGAGACGTTGGAGAGCAGAGACGCGTTATCCGTGAAGCTCTACTCCAGCCTTGTAAATGACGGTAAATGTCCTAGATTTAACTAAACTAATTTAATCGTATCGACGATGTCATAAATTGAAGAGTGTCGCGGCTTTGTCACGTTTTCAGAAGATAAAGTTGCACATGCACACGCAAAGTGCATTTAAACTTGTCAACTATTTAACACAATATCTTATTTCTAAATCGTAAATTTTTCTTTCTCAGACTAGAACAGTTTGTCTCGTGAATGAAGGTCTATAATTTCAATTTGTACGAGTATTCGACTCATTCATCACTTTTTAGTTGTCGCTTTTCGTCTCGAGACACGATGTTTTTATCGGACACATCATTAGCGGGACTTTTTACTTCCAGGTAAGCTGCTCTCGCAATTGAAGGACCAACCGCTCGTAACGTGTTTCGTGCAATTCCTCGGACAAGCGAATTCTTGCATCAGCGCGATTCTGCAAGACGTAAATGTGACCGTCGAAGAGTGCGTCGAGTTAAAAGCAGAGTTGAGGTGGTTCGCGAGATTCGAAAGACTGGGCGAAATGACGCTGCTCATCGACAAGTCGAAGAAATCCCAAGTGTTCGCGAATTTGGAACAGATTTCTTTGCTGCTGAGAGTGCATTATAAATGGCTGCTGAAGTTCCTGCGTAAGCTATTCGTAATAGCTAGAAATTCCTTGAGCGCGGGAACCACGAGCGAGATCGAGCAGCTGTGGGAGACCGTGAGGCGCACGAACGACCAGCTGAAATCGGTGTACGATCCTATCAGGAAGATATCAAAGAGAATCAAGAAGTATCTGACCCTTCCGCCGCCGCACTCCACGGAGATCAGCATGGAGGTGCACTCGAGGCTAACGAGGGTAACGAGAGACCTGGACGTGAGGGACGAGGGAGGCAGCACCCTGAAGCGAGAACTGAAGATCATATCCGTGCAGTCGGAGGACGCGCTAGCGATGAGACGGCAAACGATCGCTTTGTGGAGCAAAGCTCACTCCAGGAAGTCGACGCTCGACGAAACGATGTTGCAGATCGTCCACGAGGTGGAACGATTCTGCGACGAGAGCCACATCCGTCTGCGAGTCCCCGCGGAAGTCGAGGCTACTCTGAACAGAATGCGCTCCCTTCCGGAGAGGGAAACGGCACAGCTGAACGCGAGGATACGGCTATGGCCGATTTACGAGTACGCGTTTCTGTCGCTCGCCGGCACTCTGCAGGGCGAGATGTGCCGGGAGGCGACGATTCCCGGTGTCGCTCTGACCGAGTGCCTCGCGAGATTCACGGATGTGCCCAGTATACCGAGCGATCTGATGGGTCTACTGCGTGCGATAAGTCAAATGGAGGCCGAGCAAGGATCGGAGCTCTTGTTGCTGCCGGAACTGTTCTGCCATCTCGCGCAATTCGTTCAGCGATCTCACGCTTTTAGGGATACGAGCCGCCTCTTGCACTGGTCCGGTCTAACGGAGGAAGATGAGGAGATGTCAATGACTTCCTACACCGAACCTAAGGTTTGCGTCTTGTTCTTATATAGAAATGACTAATATTTGACTTTCAGCAGTGACAGTCTTGAAATTGTTGATTAATTATTAGGAGACATTTAAAAACAACTAATCTAATTAATATAACATTCGTAATACGTAATCGTTAAATATTTTTATATAAGAAACCTTAGAAATGTTGCGAGTGGTAGTTGAAATGTTGAAAGACAAAATTAAACGAAGCAACTGCACGGGGAAAATTTTCTCGTAAACTTTACCCCGAAAATCATGTGATCGTGGGACAATATTTTGAAGAACTTTGTGAAAGTTTTTTGAAATTTTACCATACATTTTAATAGTAGAAGGTATGGTAAAATTTAAAAAATTCTTCGAAATGCCGTGTTGTCCTACGATTTTCAAGATAAATTTTAAGAAAAAATTCACTCTTCTTCTCGTGCAGCTGCCTCGATAAATTTTGTCTTTCAGCGTTTTTACTACCTCTCGCAACTTTTCCAAAGTTTCTCATGTAAAAATATATCTCTTTCATTAATTTGATTACGCACATTTGTAGATGGAATGCTACGTCGGTGGACCCGTTCTCTTGAACCTAGTATTGCGGTTAATGTTGGACAAAGCGCACCAAGAGAAAGAGAAAGGTGTTCTTTCCACGATCGCGCTCGGGACGTATGCGGCGCAGATGAATCAGCTGGAGCTACTAAATGAGATTTTATGGCGTAACAGTATCTCGTTAACAAACAAGCGATGCGACTCTAGCAGCAGCGATTTAGCAACGTTGAAGTTTCACTTGCATTTGTATTCGTCCACGATCGACAAGATGAACCTCGAACACAACGTACTAGATCTGATTGCAATCGCCAGAGAGAAGCAGAGCGGAAACGTCGCGGACGTCTTCGAGCAGAGACTGATCAGCGATTATTTCACACCGGTGAAAGAATTGCACGAGGCGTATAACGAGATAAACGTCATCAGCGAGGAGAGTGTCCACGGAGAAGAGAGTACGCTTCGGCGGGGAAGAGCCTGGATGATACTGGGTTACATACAATTGATGCTCTTCGGAAATTTGGACCTTATCGATCCCGTGCACAAGGTGGAACTGAAGCTGAAGTATCTGGAGGAGGACATCGCCAATTGCAGAAGGACGATATACGTCGCAACGTTGCAGGATCGCATTCTGAGCACATCAGCGGCGGACGAGCGCATCCATCCGATATTCGCAACCACGAGAAACTGCGAGAGACGCTTGCTGAAGACGAGGGATGATCTCAGCGGTCTGAAAGCTTTCAGGCCACAGTCCGTCAGCTTCGCCTCGCTCAGCAAGGACAGCGCCAATTTCAGGAACGGAGTAGGTTCTTACGCGCTGGTGAGGGAGCGCATGAGCAACCTGTGTGCGATCGCGAGCAAGATCAGTCGAGACTGCAAATCGACGGATCTGACAATCGCGGAGAACGTTTCGCAAAAAGCGGAAGTCTGGGGTTTGTCGGTGCAACAATTCGCTGAGCAGATCAAGACCAAGTATCTGGCGGCTTATCCAGACGTGGTTCTTCCCTTGCTGACGGCGCTGGCGCAGTTAAATCACGGCGTTTCCATGTTGATCAACGAGACCCGACGACTAATATCTTTGCGCAGAAGCGGAGTAGCCGATCTCGAGTCCTTGATATACAACTTGATCCGCTTCCCGACGGTCGGCCGGCAGCAGGAGAACCTTTTGAACCTGAGCAGCTTGTGCGTTTCCAGGAGCACGAGGGATCTGATCGGCGAGAATTCACGTTCCACAGACACGTTCGTTAAAATGCAGGAGCAGTTTCAGATATTCAAGTCGGGCCTGCACGAACTGCACAATCACGTGATTCTCAACAAAGGTCTGACCAGGTCACTGTGGCGGGACATGAATGAGCTGTTGCAGCAGATAGTTCTGATCTGGAAGCAGCAGCAGCAAGAAGAAGAGAAGCGAGCCGCGGAGAGGGAGAGTCTATACAAGAATAAGATTGAGAATCACGGTGACGCGTTGACGGAGGAGGAGGAGCTCGCTCTGGAAGTCCGCAAGCTGTTCCCGACGCACCGCGAAAGGGACTTCCGCGATATAGAGGAGCAACCTTCTTTCGATCGGAGGAGCGCATCGCCGACCCAATCGGTCGAGACGGAGTCGAGCTTCAGCGGTCTCGTCACCAAGGACGACATCAGGGAGATCCAACTGATCCACTCGGACATTGTGTCCTTTATCGTAACCAAGTGGATGTGCAACAGTCCTGCCTCGGTGAGTGCGGCGAATTACGTCGGACCGTTGATTCAAAGGTACGGTACGACATATGGGATGCTCGACAACCTTTTGCCGAGCTTGAGCGAGGGACTCGCGATCGAACTGTACACCAGCTTGAACTTCCTGGTCACTTTGGGGCTGCAAGCGAGCCGAGACAAGGGCGCGGATCGGACTTTGTGGGAGAACGTCGTCGAGGGGCGTGTGAGAGCGTACGATTTCTACAAGGACTGCAACGTCGAGGAAGCGAAGCAGTGTCTGCCGTTGTGCGAGCGTATCCTGATTCGTGTCGATCAGCTGCTGGAGGAGTGGCCGGAACATCCCACTCTGAGATCGATACGATGCATAATAGAGAGGATCTACGCGTTTCCAATCACTTCGCCCATCTCCAGATTCCTGACGGGTTTGGAGTTGCTGTTCGTCAAGATGCACCAGTGGAAAGAGAACGCGCACAGCGGCGTCAGCATGACGGACCACGAATTAGCGTTAACGCAGCAGATAAAATGCTGGCGGAGAATGGAGCTATCCTGCTGGAAGGGTTGCCTCGATGCAGCGCACGAGAATCTCCGATCGGACACGTCCAGGTGGTGGTTCTTTCTGTACGCGCTGATCGAAAGTTACATCACGAGACCCGAGAAGAGTAACATTGGGAAAGAGGGCGATGAGCCTGTCACCAGGCTAAAGTTGGTGGAATCACTGGAGCGCTTCATGAACGAGTCGTCCCTCGTCGAGTTCGAGTCGCGATTGGGTCTCCTCTTGACGTTCCACTGTCATGTGTATTACCTCGACGACAGCGGTAACAAGAACGAGCTCTTGGCCATATTGTGGAACGTGCACAATTATTACAAACAATTTGTAGACGACGTGAATGCAAGGATCGCCGCTTTGAAAGCGCCCATCGAGAAGAAGCTGAAGGACTTCGTTAAGATCGAGCGATGGAACGACATCAATTATTGGGCCGTGAAGGAGACGGTCGAAAAGATGCATCGCACTCTGCATAAATTCATAAAGGAATTCCAGAAGGCCTTGAAGCAAAACGTGTCCTCTTGCCTGATTGTTAAATCGGGATCTTACAGCGCGGAGTTGAACAAGGGCATCTGGGACGATGGGGAACATCACAGGCGCGTGGTGAACCCCGAAGATTTTACAATACCGAAGTCTTCGCGACCTGCGGACGTGGAAACGCCGTTCACAAGCGGACTTATAGCGAGAACAGAAACGTTACTGACAAAGGCCAGGCGTCTGTGCAAAGAGATAGTCCTGGCTAATTCTTATCCGCACGTACGAGAGGAACTCGAGAGTTTTGTCGAGGACTACATGGAGCAGAGTGCGCGTCTTCGGGATATGAACGTTGACAGGAGTTTACCGAAGAATAAACAGAAGTCCCAGGCGAAGAGTATCTTGCAGCAGAAGAAAATGACGCTCGCCAATTACTTCAAGGCGTTGACTCAAATGGGCGTATCCTATCGCGCTGGTATACTGACGCTGAGGAACGACGCGGAGAAGGTGACGGACTTCACGGTGCCGCCTTTGGACCTGTGTACAATTAATCGATACTTTAAACTGAGTAAACCCGATCAGGGTATGCTGGCGCAGTGGCGAAGCTGCGAGCGGTATTATTACAAGTCTCTTATCAAGCTGAACGCTCTCAACGCGATGCTCAGCACGAGCCAGACCGATCTGGGGCTGCAGAACGTAGAGCGTTGCCGAGGATTTTCCGCGCACTTGATGCTGATGGCCCACAGGCAGAAGACTACGCTCGTCCAGGCGTTCGACCGTTTCTCCTCGCTTCGCATACAGATCTCGCGTCTGTCCGAGACAGGCGAGCAGGATCTGAATATACTGAGACAGAGCAGAGGCCGGTACTGCGCGGACAGCCTGAAGACCTTGCTGATGACCTTGGAAGTTGGATTCGAGCAGCTGCTACTGTTCCTGCAATGCTGCCCCGCGGAATCGTCGACGGACTCGAACAGAGCCGCGCTCACGCTGGACGCGAATGCGCTTCCTATAATCGCCGCCTCTCAGAACGACGAGGTCTGGAAGAACGCGAACGCTTTGCTGAAGGACATTTTGAATTCAGTAAAGGCTATCGCGAAACGCTTCCACGTCTTGTTCCTGCCGTTTGACATTTTATCGGTAAACCATCCTGAGCGTTTCACTCACACATCGCCTCTAAGTACGAAGGACTTTGAATTCTTGGAGCAATGCTGCGCGACGATCAGGGACCTAAGAGTACGATCTAAGGAATTGCAACGACTGTTTGAGAGCCCGGACGTTGTGCATCCTATCTGGAAAGATATAGCGTTTTTAGACACGAAGATGGAAGGCTTCCTTAATCTCTCCGAAAAATTGCGAAGCTCCACAGACGTCGAAAATGGAGAGCAATTGGGGGAAAAGAATCACGCTGTCGAGCAGTACGAATCAGCGCTGGAACATCTGATAAACACGATATTGCTTGTAATACAGAAGAAATACAAAGCTCAGACTAATACCGGGGAAGATGTGCCGCGCCTCAACGAGGAACCGAATGAGGAAAACGATATGGAGAGAGAAGCGGGAGAAGAATTAAATGTAAGACTTACTGAATTGCTCGAGCGGGATATAACCGAACTGAAGCTGTCCGACATATGCAATTCGCTCTCCAATCTTTTGTTATCGACACGTGAACTCGATCTGCAATCAGCAAATTACTGTACTAGGTAAGGATTTTTACTATTGAACGTGTCGGTATAAATGATTTCAAATTATAACGTGCTGTTTCTCTCGAGAAATCTTTTATTGAAGAAAAGTATGTTATCTTTCTGTACTTATCAATTGAAAAACAATGTTTAATAAATTTTTACCAGCGTGAAATACAAGCTGTAAATTCCTAAATTGATAAATATCTATTGTTTTCAGGTTGCTCCTAAAATGTTTGCCTCTATTGGAACAATATATCTTGCTCGTTCAGTTTTACTTCAACGAGCAGGTGGCGTCGTTCCGCGTCACGTGCAAGATACTGTACCTACAATTGAACGTATTCTTAGATCTGGCTGCAAATGGGTTCTGTGTGCCAAAGGACTTAGATCTCGAGGAAAGCGATACAAACGAGTCAGGCGAGAGGACAGAGAAAGGCGGGATGGGCTTAGCTGATGGCGAAGGGACGAAAGACGTTTCCGATAGAATAGAATCCGAGGATCAGCTTGAGGACGCCAGACCCGCGGATCAAGAGCAGGAGAAGCCGGATGATAAGACTTGTAAGGAGGAGGAGAAGGGAATCGACATGTCCGAGGATTTCGACAGCAAACTTCAGGATATGGAGAAAAACGACGATGACGAGGAACAGAGCGACGACGACGAGGAAAACGATTTGGATAAAGAAATGGGGCAGACGGGAGAAGGCGCTGAGCAGCTTGATAAAGAAATCTGGGGCGACGATCAGGAGGAATCTGGAGAGGACAATGAACAGCCGGAAAACGAGGATGAAGAGGAAGGCACGGGCGAACAAATCGGTGGGAAGGAAATGAGCGCGAGGGACGACACAGATAAGAGAAAACAGGAAGATGACAACGACGACGACGAAAATCGACAAGAAGAAAGTAAAAAGGAGATAAACGAGTTGAATGAACCGGAGGTGGATGAGGATCAGATTAATCCTTACCACGGTAAGTTCCAGCCTCCACCGGAACCCGAACCGCTTGATTTACCGGAAGACATGAATCTGGACGAGGACGGTAAGGAGGACAACGGTGGCGAGGAGGAGAATCCCTTCGACATTGATGAGATGAAGAAGCCGCCGCCGGAGAAGCAGGACGTGGAACTCGAAAAAGAATCTGGCGAGGCGAAAGAAAATGATTCTGAGGAGAATTCCAGCGAGGACGAGAACGATAATAATAATGTCGATGAGGAAACCCAAGCTCGAAGGGCAGAAGAAGAGTTGGAAATTGATGAGAAAACCGAAGAGAAAAATGGGGAAAATGCCACAAACAAAGACGAGGAACAAAATCGAGATGAAGAAGCGGAGGAGGAGAAATTGCAAGAGAAAGCGGCGCCAAGTGCGAATGATGCGAGCGAGCAGATGGATGCTGCGCAACAAATTGAGGAAACGGCGGAAGGTTCGCGGGACACGGTAGCGCACCAACCGGAAGACACGAAAAATCAACAGTCAGAAACCTCAGCCGAAAACACACAAGAGGATAGTAATGACAAAGGCACTGGCCAATCGCAGTCGGTGCAACAGGAAAGCGGACACTCGGGATCGTCTAAGCAGGAAACTGTCCCGGCGCCGCAGAGCAATGCTATGACAAAACCAGTCGAGAAGAGGAAGAACCCGGGCGAGAGCAACGAGGATCGCAGTCTGTTTGATAGATTTGAGCCGACGCTGAAGAAGTTGAAGACGATCTACACACAGGACGAGATATCGAGAGACGAGAAGGAGAACGATGCGAGCAATGTCGACGGCGACAAGGCCGAGATGGCTCAACACGTCAAGGATTCCGAGAGATTTGACGATTACACGCTCGACGCCGCGACGGAAGACCAGGTCAGACAGCAAGCTTCCAACGCGGATAAAGCTGAAGACGAGGAAGAGAAAGAGAATGACACTATGGACGTGGAGATGCACGAGGATAAGGAGAACGACGTGGCGAATGATAAAATAAACGAGCAGAAAGCCGAGAGGGTCTCTGAGATTGCAGACAACAAATGCAAAAAGGATCCCGATGGTAAAAGTAATAACGTGGATGACAATCAGACGGAGACAACTGTGGCATTGGAAGGAGAAACCGCGGAGACCATGAAAGTGCAGAGGGGAAACGAGTCTACGTTTCACACGATGGAGTGCAGCGTGGAAGAGAATGATCTCGGTTCTGGCCATGTGGAGAGAAAGCGATTCGAGGTGGAGAGGATGCTAGGCGAATGGACACAAATGCCCTCCACAGAAGAAGCTGCAGCCGCGTGGAATTGTCTGTGCTCGGTCACGGACGCGGCCGCTCGGGATTTGTCCGAAAAATTAAGATTGGTGCTGGAGCCCACGCAAGCGTCGAGATTGAAGGGCGATTATAAGACGGGCAAGCGTATTAACATGCGAAAAATCATCCCCTATATAGCCAGTCAGTTTCGCAAGGACAAAATCTGGCTCAGGCGCACGAAACCGTCGAAACGTGACTATCAGATCGTTCTCGCGTTAGACGATTCCAGCAGCATGGCAGACAATCATTCCAAAGAGTTGGCTTTCGAGTCCTTGTCGCTGATTAGTAAAGCAATGACGTATCTGGAAGTAGGACAGCTTAGTGTCATCAGTTTCGGGGAGCAGGTGAAAGTATTGCATCCTTTAGGAGAAGCTTTCACGGAACAAAGTGGATCTAGGTATCTTTGCATTCTGTTTGCATTTAATGTTTAATTAAATATAAGTTGAACGGTTTAGGAGCTAACACTAGATAAATGATATATTGATCTTATTGTTAGTCGCTATTTTATATATTCAAATTTATCAGCCATATCATTTCATGTGACAATTGGAATTTTAGTTACTCCGTTTCTTTTCTATTTACAGGCTAATACAAGAAATGAGGTTTGATCAAAAAAAGACCATGATTGGACAATTAGTCGATTTTACAGTGGAAATGTTCGAGAGCCAGCGTGCCTCATCTGACAATGCTAAACTGTTGGTGGTACTGTCGGATGGCAGAGGGATATTTTCAGAAGGAAAAGATATAGTGACTTGTGCTGTTAGGAGAGCTAGACTTGTAGATATCTTTCTAGTGTTTATAATAGTCGACAATCCAATTAACAAGGTGATTTTTAATCGAATCTTAAAATAATTATATTATTAATAACCGTCGCGATAATAATAGTTTCGTTTAGATACTATTAAAAAACGATTACTAAGAATCAATTCTTCTCTATTTTTCAGGATTCAATATTGGACATTCGCATGCCTGTGTTTCAAGATAGAAAATTATTAAGTATTCGACCGTATATGGATAATTTCCCATTTCCATTCTATATGATTCTTAGAGACATAAACACATTGCCAGGTGTTCTGAGCGACGCTTTACGCCAATGGTTTGAAGTAGTTGGGAAAATTGATACTTAGATTAATAAATATTCATTTTAAACATTCAAACTGGTAAGTTTGTAGCTAGTATAAATAATTAAATTAAAGTTTAGTTACGTAACACAGTTATGAAATCCAGCATGTATATACATTTTTTTTCTTTGATATGATTTCCCATCTGATAATGGTAAAATTTGATATATGCTGTGATGTATACTATGTATAATACATATTGTATAATATACGTTATTTATATGCAAAAATAAAAATATTCTTTGGTAAATCTATAAAAAATGACCACCTAATATTTAAATTAAAATTAATGTATGTATAAAACTGCACATATTGAACTCAACTGTATGTTAATGATTAATATAAATAATTGGACTAACCTTTAGTAGATTATAATAAATTTATTGACATTTAACTTTTGGATTAAATTTATCTTGGCTGAATTCCAACTAAAAGTAATCGTCACTTCACTTGAATTGATGAATTTTTTATATAGAAATGTATCATAAGAACGTTAAAGCAATAATTCAACAATTGAAATGAAGCCTATATTACTAATGTCCTAATATCCTAATATCCCAAACTGTTCTATTACAAATGTTGTATAAGTTATACATCATCTTATTCCATTTATTCCAGTCAGTTTATACTCTCAAGCCTAGTAAATTATACAGCATATTGGATTATAGAAAAATTCAAGTATTTTGTACTAAGCTCAACCAGCTTCTGCCCTCTCCGTCAACGCCAGCTGGAAATCTAATCTGCACTAATCGCACATTCTTGTCTTCTCCTTGTGAAGCAGCTGGTACAACTATTGCCTCACCCTCCTCACTCTCGTTATAAGCGTATACCGTTTCCACTTGATTAACATCACATTTATTGTCTGTAGTGTCACTCTCCACAAAGTCAATCTACGAAACAAAATGCAGCTTTTAATGATAAACAAATTATTTTGCGCCGAATATCTTTTCTAAGAAATTTTAATGCTTTACCTGATCTTCGACAAGAGGGTCTACATCGCCGCTCACGGTTTCTTCTGCCGGTATATTTAATACAACATCCTCTTCATTATATATCTGATCTTCCCCTTCTTGTTGTATAATCACATGATCTTTCAGTTCGGTCACATATAATCCAGTTTCATCCAACTAAATAAGCAACAACATGTATAATATTCATGTAATAAAACTTTGCACGTTACGATGTATATTCTACAATAATGTACATTGTGTGCAATAAACTAACTATTCCATGCTATAAACTAAACTATTCCTGAATGAGGAATAAATGTGCTACGAATATTTTTATACATTTTTTAGATTGAAACGGGAAACTTATAGTCAACCCAGCTGGCTAATTATTTAATCGATTTATTACACAACATTTCGACCCTATTCTTTTGGGTCCTTTTCGAGTGATACTGCAAATCAACAACAACAACGCAGTTATGAGCAATGTAGGTGAATAAATAAAAAGGATTTAGATCTTTGATTGCAGTCACCAGAAACCAGCTGTCTTTGATACGTGACCGTGGTTTCTGGACAGACAGGTGTAGAATGTCGTGCAGATATTAATGAGTGAGTTAATTTTTGAAGTTAATTGATTAATGGAATCCTTGAGTTTGCGGTATGTGGATGTATCGTTAAGTAATTCTTTCATCTGCTCGACATAATCCCCTCTGTCCATCACAACGGTGACTTTTATATTTCACGAGGATAGAATGTGTAGAACAAAGTACCTGTTCGTTCACTTCCTCCATCAATAGTTCGGCAGAACTATTGGAAATAGTTATTACTTGATTATCTTCCGTTGTTAATCGCGGTTGGTTCACCACTATGGTATCATTCAAGTGACCCTAAATATTAAATAACATATGCATTATATTGTGACCATAGAATAATATATAACAAAAAATAGAAAGAAAAATGAGAATTTGCTAATGAATCAAAATGCTTTCTCAAGTATTACCTGAGCTTGCATGTGTCCATAAAGTAATGGCTTTCTCATGAAGCCCATGCCACAGACCAGGCATTCGTATGGCTTTTTATCGCTATGTATGAATCTATGAGCGTTTCTGTTGTCCCTGCTATTAAATGCTTTGCCGCAGACCTAGAACAGAGCGCATCTATGACAGAAATGCAATTTGAGCGCGAGAATAAAAACGACCGAGTGAGAAACAATTTGAGAGAGAGTATTCAACGATAATTTTCAGGCAAATACCTCGCAATTATACGGTTTCTCGCCTGTATGTATACGTCTGTGCTTCTTAAAATGTTCGGGATAGACAAACGTGGCCGAACATACGTCACATTTGTACGGTCTTTCGCCGGTATGCGCCGCTTTTATATGATAATCCAGTAATCTTCTTCTTTTGAAACCCTTTCCACAATTGTCACACTTGTAACGTTTATCGTTGTAATGCGTCGCCCGCTTGTGGGATTGTAAATTCGACCGCTGACTATAAATGGCAACAGCGACATCAATCGTTCGCGAGACATTAATTCGAACATAAAGAATCGCTATTCACCTCTCCAATTTTGTACCACTCACCTAAATGTCGCTCCACAATACTCGCACTGATAAGGCTTCTCACCCGTGTGAGTTCTCTCGTGATCACGTATCTCCGCTTTGCGTGCAAACGCTTTACCGCACATGTTGCACTTATAGGGTTTGTATCCGGTATGTACTATATTGTGTACCTCCAAATTGTGAGACGAGGTAAAAGCCTTTCCTTTAAATTTTAAGAACGATCGTTAAAAAAGCGAATAAGAAGAACGTTAACATGATAACGGTTGAATCTGGACAAAAAGTATAACATTAAATGTTATAAGAAATATATATTTATGAATCTTACCGCACTGATGGCATATATATTCCCTTACGCCATTGTGCGTTCGTTCATGCTGGGTCAAATTTTGCTGGCTCAAAAACGTTTTGTTGCACCGGGTGCACTCAAAGGGACGAGGTCGTACTTCGTGTGTTTTTATGTGCGCCTTATACGTATATTTCGATGCAAAGTCTTTGTTACAGACGTTGCACACGTATGGACGAACACCCATGTGCGTGTTCGTGTGTTCATCTAATAAATTTTTTGAACTAAATCAAAAAATATATATATTATCTTCTATTTTATCTGTATCTGTACTTGAGAGATAAATTGTTGCAACTGCAAAATTATTGATTCTGAGATTTTTTTCTTTCAGCTGCTCTTATTATTTATTTTACAGTGGTGAATAAACGTATCTGCAGAATGCACGGAAAATGAAAAGAATGCACGTTTGAGAAAAATATTGTCAAGCAAACTTTGGAAAAATATAAAAAAGCAACTTATAGAAATACAAGTTGATTGCGGCTCTTCTGCAGAAATTTGCTAAATATCAGTTGCGACAACTGACTTCTCAGGTACAGGTATTTCATAGTCTCATCTTGGCCTAGTGATACCGTACTTGTATCTCTTCCCACACGTGCTGCAGGGCCACGACTTCACCTGGGGATAATGTATCCTCTTGTGAATTCGGAACAGTCGCAGATTACTAAAAATTCTGTTGCATATCTCGCACTGAAAATCCCCCTCCTCCTTCGCGACGTGATCGTCGAGGTGCATGGAGAGTTCGTTCCTCTTTCTGAAATCCTGCCCGCACACGTCGCAAATGTACAGACGAACGTCGTGGATATCCTTCATGTGCGCTACAATGGTCTTAGCATCCGTTGTGACCTTCTCATCCTCGCACAAGAAACACGTGTACGAAGAATCATTTCGCAGTACAATCTGAAGAGAAATGCCGTATTATAGCCCACATACCACACGGAGTTTTCTCTTAAAATTTACCCTGAAAACCGTGTAATCGTGGGACATGGCATTTTGAAGAACTTTACGTGAGTTTTTTCAAATTGTACCATACATTCTGCTAGTAAAATGTAAAATTTCAAAAAACTGACAAAATTCTTCGAAATGCCATTTAAGAAAAAATTCTCTCCGTGCGTAATTCTTTACAATTTCTCGCCGCTAGATCACCGATTTCTCCGTACGTACAGTTTCCTGCAGATTTGCTTCAACTTTGATCTTCTTCGACTTCTTCTTGTCGTCGAGGATATTTGTCTTGTCTGTTTCTTCAACCGCGGGATCTTCCGATTCTACAAGCAATTCTTGTGCTTCCTCTTCTTGCATCTCTGTATCGTCCTCTAGCGAGTAATCTTCTTTAGTCTCTTCCACCTCCTATGAACATCACCAGTGTATTTATGTACTACTAAACTACAACGCGATAATCTATTTTCGTCAAGCTTTACGTGACATCTTACTTCGATTAAGATGTTCTGGCCTTCCGTATTGTCTGTATAGTCATGATCGTTATAGTCCTCCTCATGATTACAGTCGTCCTCCTCATTTTGAAAGATGTCGCATAATTTTTTAACTTCCACCGTCTTTTTATAATTGTTGCACAACTCCATTTTGATCTCGCTCAATTTACTCTCAAGCTCGTCAACCTAAAATCAGGTAAGAGGCGTGTGTGACTTTCGCACGATCGACGAAAATTCGACAAATCCTTCGTCGAGGAAACCGCGAGCGATCGCTGCGTCGCGCGGCTTTGCTTTACCTCGTTGAACAGCTTGAAACATTTCTTGCAAATGACGAGAGAATGCACGGAATCCTCGCTGATGTCGATTTCTAGAACGGCTGATATAACATCCACTAGCGCCTTATCAGTTACCGTGTAGCTGGAATCATCGAAGATGCGTATGCTGTTTCTAGTGGATACCCCGATTTTACTGTCGCATACTAAGCACTGTATGAAGTCTTTATCGGAGTCGGCCATCGTCTTTTACCGCTGCAATTGATACATTTTATCATTAGCGATGCTAAATACATAAGTTGGGCATTTTATTCCGCTCATTGGTCAACGGAACTTTTGGATACTGAGAGAAGGACGTTTCGTAGTCGAGGTTTAACAATTTATCTCTCGAAATCTTTATTTCTCAAATGTGCAAACTCTTAGGTCCGGTTTCACCCAACGTCGCTTAATCATAATCCGAGTTCACTTCATGTTTGTCTCTTTCTAAAGCAACAGTTGGAAAGAGACAAAGAACAAATTAAGCTTAAAATTAAACGTTGGCAAAACCAGGCCTTAATGTCCGCTTCCAGCAATGCAGATAAGTTTGAATTCTGGTTCAACCAGGTTTTCATCTTTTTCCAATTCCAGAAACTAGAAAACTGAAGAAATGGACGTAAACACGGTCTCACCCAACGTCGCCTAACTTAAATCTTGGTTCAATTCACGTTTATCCCTTTCTAAGGTAAAGCCCAATCTGCAGTGTGCTTTCTGCGTCCAGAAACATTCTATTTTACACAAACGAATCAAAACGCTCAAAATATTTGCCGACAACATACAGTCGCACAATGTATAATATACAAGTTATCAACTTGCAAATTTTTTAAGCGTACCTACTGACTACAAAATAGAATGTTTCTAGACGCAGAGAGCACATCGTAGCCGTTGGAAAGAGACAAAGAGACAAAGAACGAATCAAGTTAAACTTACAGTCAAGCGATGTGGATGAAACCAGGCCTTGCAAGAGGATAAGAAGTAATTGAAAGACTTAATCTGCACTGGCAGAAACGGGCACGAGAGTCGAAACGTAAACATTTTTCTCTGAATACCCCGAGACTCGACATTCGACGGCGCTGTCGACACACAAGTCGCTCGACCCTCTCGCGGCTCTAACGTTCTCTCGGTCTTCGGTTTCCGTCGACGCATCGTCCTCTCAGCGGACGCGCGCTGGATCGCGGGGTCCCCTTGAATCTTGCGAGCCGGATACTCGCGTATCCCAGCGGTTACCAAAGGGCCAACGCGAGTCGTACGCGCGTCGGTCGACGACGCCGGGGCGCCGGGCGTCGCGACGCCCCGTCCTTGACGCGTCGCGCAAGATGTCGCGCGCGCCCGCCTACCCGCGTGAGCAGCCGTTTCGTTTCCATGCTCGCGGTCTCTCGCGCGGGACGAAAATTGTACCGAGAGCGCTCAGGCGGCGCGAGAGCCCGCGTGTTCCTCCCGCTATGATCCGCGTCGAGCGCGACGGCGACGGCGACGTCGACGGTTGCGCGGTTGCTCCGGGACGCGAAGGCGTCCGAGACGTCGTCGCCTCCGATCGCGCACATGATTCCACGCGCTTCCCTGATCGGATCCTCGACGGGTCCGAGACGCGCGGCGAGGCGCGAAGAGAAGCGAGGCGGCGAGCGCAACGCGAGCGCGACAACGATAACAAGACGCAAAAAGTTGCCAGCACTGACTTGAAATTTTCATTCCCCGGTGTGGACGATTGGCAGGACAACAGATAGGCGGAACAGCGGGCGATCGAGCGATGGCCCCGGGCGGCGGCGTCGAATGGCGACGGGCTCGGGCGACGACGGCCGTCGCGACGCCAAAGGAACCCTGAAAATGGCGACGCGGCTCGGCGACTACCCGCGCGTTTTTACCACCTGGCGGCCGTCCGGACGGAAAAGTGTCTGGGCGGCATTACGTCGCGCGCGCCGGGGGGGGGCGGGCGAGCGCGCGAGGGCCGCGGGCGTCGCGAGCGCCATCTGCGGCGACCGCGCGCGCGATGCGGCCGATTGGAAACGCCGCCGGGCGAGAATCTTTTCCCCCCGCGCCGCCGAGAAACAACGTTCTGTCGCAGCTTCTATTTCCGCGCAAAAGGAGCGGCGTTTCCTTATATTAACACCGCGTTTCGAGCCTGTCCAGCCGTGATTTACCTTGCGCCTCGATGACGCGTCACAGCGGGCTGTTTTTTTTTTCAAACGAACGCTCAAGGCGCGCCGCTCGTTAAGCCCCGTTCGAATGAAGCCCGGTGTCCAATTCTACCAAATGTGGATTCAGTTTATCACCGCGGAGTTTAGCTTTGTTTAAATCCAACAAGCTACAAAATTATCAAGGTAAGAGAAAAACTAAACGCCATTCGCGTTCTTTCCACGTTCATTTTCTTGTTTGTTTCTTTTTACGCGGGTCACTCAATCGGAGTCGGGTCGACCCGACTGTTCCCGGCAATACGTTGAACCGTTCCGGTCGATATCGATCGAGTCCGGATTTGACATGGTTCTCCTGCGGTTACATCACCGGTACATGATCGTATTTCAAAAGGAGATTAGGAGACGACGGGTCACGGATCGCTGTGAGCAGTGTGAGCGCCAGTCGGACATCCTCGTGGGCGCCGGGCGGGTCGGACCGCGGCGAGCTGGGCGAGCACGTGCCGGAGTCGCGTGACGACCGCGGTCGTCGACGGGGCGAGCAGGTCCGCGCAGATGAACAAAAATGACTCGATGAGCAGATACGGGCCCCTCGTCGGCGCGATCGACGAAGGGACGAGCAGCGCGAGATTCCTGGTACGGAGAACAACGACCCAGCCTCCCGGCGCGGCTCCCGGGAGCTGCGGTTATCGAGGACGCACAGTGCGCGACGCCGCGGCGAATGGACGATCCTCCGCGGGACCCTCAGAGTGCGGAACGAATTGTTGAGATAATCCGCAAATGATCGGAGCGGATCGTCCAAGCTGTGCGTTTGCAGACAAGAGCGACGCGTCGTTCAATTTGTACCTTCGGTTGCGGCGTCTCTCGTTCGTTACCTGATCGTCGCTTGCTGTTGTTAAAATAATTTACACGTCGACACGTTTCCTCTCTGTCGCAGGTCTTCGCGGCGGACACGGCGGAGGTCTTGACGTACCATCAGGTCTCGATATCGCAGACGTACCCGAGGGAGGGATGGGTCGAGCAGGACGCCCTGGAGATACTGCGGGCGGTCAGGGAATGCCTCCGGCAGACCGTGTTCAACCTCAAGCAACTGACGATAGATCCGGCTGACATAGTCGCAATCGGTATAACGAATCAGAGGGAGACCACGGTTGTGTGGGACTCCGTAACGGGACAGCCGCTTTACAATGCCATAGGTAATAATAGAGTAAGGTGGCCACATTTGGATCAAGAGCGTGCACAGAGTGCGGATCGACAGTTTCATGAGTCACTAGGCAACACTTTGAAGTAATTCACTTAAATTTGGCTCTTTTATGTATTTACAACTTTATGCTATATCGTCGATATCATAAAAGGCATCAACGTGTTTTTATGTCGCTTGTCAGCGACTCGGCAAATTGTTGATCCACATTTGATATCCGAGAGTCGATCGTGAATCTTTTCCTCAGACGTGAACTCGTGAAACTCACTCGCAAATATTGATTTCGTTAATGAAATTTTTCGCTTCTTACGAGCTCGCGCTAGAGAAAAGGATTCATGATCCGAATTTGGTCGCTTTGCCCTAAAATGATGTTTGTTGCAAGTCGACGGACGAGACTCTCCGTTGCCTGTGATAATTTATACGATTCGTTAACTTCGATGATATCTTGCAGTCTGGATGGACATGAGAACCACGTCGATCGTGGACGATATATTGAAGGGCGTACGCAACAAAAACAAGGATTACCTGAAGCCGCTCTGCGGCCTGCCGATTAGTCCGTACTTTAGCGCGTTAAAATTGAAATGGCTGCTGGAGAACGTGCCTCGGGTTCAGGAGGCGTTGGCCACCAGACGTCTCATGTTCGGCACCGTCGACTCCTGGCTGATTTGGGTAGGTCTCCGCGCGCAGCGAGCGCGGGGTGTCTTCTACTACCGGGAGAAACCTGGAACTCTTGAGGAATCACTGATACGATCTCGCGGACATCGAGTTGCTTCTCAATCGATGTTACTTTTCTTCTAAGGCTGATGGCAGAGAACGATCCGTAAACGCTTAAGACTGGCTTAGTCGTAGACGTAGGGCAAGGCAGAGAGAAACGTAAGTCGTGAAAGGCTATTGTATACGACTTACGTTTCTCTCTGCTTTGCCCTACGTCTACGACTGAGACAGTCTTAAGCGTTTACGGATTGTTCTCTGCCATCAGCCTAACAAAGAATTGTAAATTTATTTGACCAATATTTTATCACTGTGCAGTGGTATTGGCCGAACGATTGACTAACGACGCAGTAATTTTTATTCAGATTACCTGAGGGCCCAAACCCAGGGCCGAGATAAAAAAGACCAAGACTTTAAATGTTTTAAAATGTTCCTTTTGTAAAAACCGTTTTTCTTACTTGAATATTCTTATAACTTCACTCTCTTTACGTAATTATTGTAAACAGGACACACAATTTGTAAACGAGATAAGAATAATTAAATTCGTTAAATCTTTATTATTAATTAGATTTGCATCGAAAATTATTCTAATTTTGTCTGGAAGTTTTAATGAAAATCAGGGACTTCTTTCTCGAGAAATGAGTAGACACCCCGGAGCGTAATGCGAAGGGAATTGTTCGTAATATTTTAATTAACACGCCAATTTTTTTTGTAATTAGAATCTGACTGGTGGCGCCAATGGCGGTGTTCACAGTACGGATGTCACGAACGCCTCGAGAACAATGCTGATGAACATCATGACGTTGAAGTGGGATCCGACTCTATTGTCATTTTTCAAAATACCCCCCGAAATTCTGCCTCAAATACGGAGCTCCTCTGAGATTTACGGTTACATACAAGATGAATTGTTGCAGGGCGTTCCTATATCGGGGGTATGCAGTACTTTTACTGCTTCAGTCAAGTATAACATAAGGAAGATATAATATCAAATAGTATGGTATCAAACTTGGGCCGGTACTCGTAGTCGGATCTTATACAAGATAGAACATTTCGTTCATAGCTACAGAGCGGTCTTGAACATAAGATCTGACTATGAATACCGGCCTTAGATTTTCATTAATGTCGCTTATTTTATTTGAAAAATTAATTGCTGAAGTTGCTAATTATAGCAATCAAGTTTGACCCAGGTATGTAAAAAGTTATCTGTCACAGTGTTTAGGTGATCAGCAATCAGCCTTAGTAGGACAGATGTGTCTACAGCAGGGACAGGCAAAGAGTACTTACGGCACTGGCTGCTTTCTTCTTTATAATACCGGCACAGCTGTAAGAAAAGTTTTATTGTATCGTCACGATATAACGCGTGTATTGGTTTAGAATGTAATCTTGTTTCTCTCATTGTTACAGATTGTCGACTCGTCCCACGGTTTATTGACGACGGTCGCCTATCAATTAGGAGCGCACGCTTCCCCCGTGTACGCTCTCGAAGGGTCCGTAGCTATCGCGGGTGCCGTTATACAGTGGTTGAAAGAGAATCTTGGAATACTAAATAATATAGAAGAATGCGAGACCATTGTTGAACAAATGTCCACAGGCAATCGTATTGTTTTTGTGCCGGCGTTCGCCGGACTGTACGCACCTTACTGGAGGAAAGATGCGCGAAGGTAGCTAGTTTTATCGGTACAAGGGAATTTCACTACTTTGCAGCAATGGCCAAGTCTACGAATATATCGTTTTCACAGTGTCATATGCGGTATTAGCGAAGATACTACTGGCGCGCATATTGTAAAGGCGGCTCTGCAAGCGGTATGTTTCCAGACGAGAGACGTCTTGGAGGCCATGAAGAAGGATACTGGCTTGGTACTGTCGAGACTGTTGGTCGACGGTGCAATGACGAATAACAATTTGCTGATGCAAATGCAAGCCGATATCTGTGGGATTCCAGTGGGTAGGTGGAATATTTTTTCAAACGAAGCTTGCGTACGTGCTGTTAGATGAAAAGTTGGCAAATCAAATTAGCACATATAATTTTATACGAAAGTTAGACCATTGATGTGTGAAACTACCGCACTTGGAGTCGCGATTGCCGCGGGTAGCGCGGAAGGGATACGAAAGTGGGATGTGAAGATCGACACTGCCGTCCCAAGCGATATCTTCTTGCCATCGATAACTGAGAATGGTGATTATCGTACAACGACCACTTTGTTACAAGTGTGAAAGTTTTGTGACGGAGAGATTAACTGACTGACGCATTGATTTCAGAACGTGATATTTTATATTCTCAGTGGAAGGCGGGCATTGATAAGAGTTTAGGTTGGGAGTCGATCCCAGAAACAATGGGTAACTATTAATGACGAACGAGCAACAAAACTGCACGAATCTACAGTACGATCCGTAAACGCTTAAAACTGCCTTAGGACCGGTTTCACCAAGCGCCGCTTAACTTTAATCTTAGTTTAATTCATGTTTGGATCTTTCTAAAGTAACAGTTGGAAAGAGACAAAGAACGAATTAAGTTGAGCTTAAAGTTAAACAACCGGCGTTTACGGATCGTTCTCTCTGTCATCAGCCTTATACTATTAAATTTTAATTGCAGACGTTTCTATCGCAGATGACACAGAGGGCATACACAAAGCTACTGCACCCGGTGTATTCATAATTGGTACCATAATACTACTTATGGTCGCTAAATACAGATCTACCTTGTAATAAGTTTGTGTATGCAGTACCGTGTACTGCATATTGCATTTAGGCAAAATCTGCTTGTCGATACAACGGAAAATATGTTCACTACCGGTATACAACACGTTGCTTTACCTTTGTTATTTATGTTAATATTTATGGATTAAAAAAAGATCAAAAATAAAAAAAGTGCCATAATACTGTAAAGTAGTAGAGCGTTATTGTACAGCATATTAATAAGAACTGTTTGGAAATGTTGTCTTTTTCCTTTCGATCTGTAATTATTTTGTATGCTGTTTGACGGCTTCATTTTACAATGTAACTTTGCGATATTACATGAGTATTTTATGGTTTTGCGTTTAAGTTAGTCTTTTTTTTATTCCCGCGTTATCTTCGTCAACGTCTTCCGATTTCCCTTGAATTATTGCAGGAGCAATGGATACCATACATTCATCGGGTACTTTGGATTCTTTAGGTGCAAGTATTGCAGGTGATGATTCCTGTAACAACAAAAGATACAACAGAGAAGGCAATTCTTCAGACGCACATGTCAACTTGTGTCTGCGTTGATTGACTCTTACGATAAATCTCTCGCTGACCGATGTTTGAGCGACAACGGACGTCTCGAGCCAAGTGTCGCTTTTTATATTATTGATTCGTAATCGTGCGTGTTGAGGTACTAATATACGGGCGATGAGAGAACGACACGACTGAGATATTTTAGGACGTTTGAGGAACACCACTCTGTTTTGTACTTGCTGAGTAAGGAGAAAGAGGAATGGACTGCGTTAGGAGAAGATGACGGCGTTTGCAAGGAACGTATGTGGAAAATAATCATTTTCAACTGGTATGTCTTTATGTTGGGTAAAAATTATTATTCACTATATGTTGATATTTAAACCTTGTGGTGTGTATTGACTTAAGGAGGTAATTGTTATTAATTGCAGGAGGAAAAATAATTTTTACAAATTGCGTGAGTATACATTGGGTATCACCGGTCCTGGCATATACCTGGGTACCTTTAGCAGTTGCGCGTAATTTGTATCGTCAAACGGCAGCTGACCGTAAACCATGGCATACAGCACCACCCCCATGGACCATATGTCGGCGAGCTGCGGCTGGTAAGGGACGCCCCGTAAAATTTCGGGCGACGCGTAGGCGTAACTGCCGCAGTAAGTTGTGCTGAGAGGCCACTCGCCGTTCTTAGACTGCATTTGTCCACGCGCGAATCCGAAGTCAGACAATTTGATGTTGAAGCGATGATCCATGAGCAGATTCTCGCACTTTACGTCTCTGCGGGAGTTCAGCGGAGAGTTGTGTCAAAATTATTGCGAGATGTGCTTAATGAGATTAGTTTTAACATTCAATGTGTATGAATATTATTGTAACTAGTTCTGAACTATTCTTATTTCCCTTTCTAGATTATAATTCTGCAACTTTACGTCTTTCACACTGATTGTGAGAAAAACAAGTTGATTACTAAATATGCTATTACTTAGTAATAGCAGGCACTATTTTTGTAGTTCAGATATACATATGTTTTTTTAATTTCAAGCATACATAATTTATAACATTTATTTCTTTTCATTAAAAACGTTTACATACATGAATAAATATTTACTTGACAGCCTGTGTGAGCATCTAGTTGAATCAGGAAATATTTTCTTGATTGTACACTTTTTCTCAGTGCTTTAAAATCTTCATCTTTCACTTACAATAATCATACGTTTCTTTACCTGTGCACTATGCCGTGCTCGTGGCAATAATCGATGGCTTCCAAAAGCTGTCGGAACCACCTACGGCTACGTAACTCGTCGATGTAAGTATCGCGTCGTATAACGTCGAGCAAGCTGCCATTCTGCGCGAATTCCATAATGATATACACCCTGGAAAGAGCAGGCGATTTAAAAGAGATTGACAGGTATTCGTCATGGGATTGAATTTCCATCCCACTAGATTCGAATACACCTATTCCCTGCGCTGATCCGCCTGACAAATGTTATTTAAGGAAGCTGAACCAACCGATGTGTGGTCTCTATCGCCTGCAGAAAGTGAATGAGATTTGGATGTTTCAATCCTTTGACCACCTCGATCTCGCGAGGTAGGAATTTTGTGAGGTACTCTCCGGGCGCCTGGAACTTGGAGACTATCTTCACCGCCACTTGGCAATCGTGTCGATCGGACTTTGCGATCTGTGCGCGCAAGCATGTAACAAATGTTTGACGTTAAAGAAGAATATGATTAAAAACCGTGGTGAAGATATTTTGCTGAAAGCACCATGGAGTCAAAAAGTGGAACAAAAGTTACTGAAAAATTGCTAAAACTAAATCAATTTTCTTTACAAAATTCAATGCTGAAATATAAAGAAAGTTAAGGTACACCGTTGAAAAACAATCACGAAATATTTTAGACATTAAATTTACTCAAGTCAACTAAAACTTGTATGTTTAATGCCAATGATTTTTCACTGAATTTATTTTATACTAAAATACTGATGAAACGATAATAAAACTGGGTCAATTGAGAGAGATTTTCTAATTTCAGCAGAGTTTCATACTTTAAGTGCAATATTACCACCGGGGGAGGAAAGAAAAAGGAAAGGAAATGGGATGGACCATTACTTTGACGGTGGCATATGATCCAGCACCAATAGTCTTCCCGAGCGCATAGCCGTGCGACTCTAGCACCGTCAATTTCTTATCCGACTTTTCGCCGTTCTCATCGGTCAATCTCATACCAGCCAGTTGCTCCTTCGACGTACACTTTATTATTGGCACCGTTGCCATCTCCGGCGAAAATAAAGCTTTCGGCTGCAAGAAGGAGGTTTCAAGTAAGGTGCAAATTGGCAGAATCTATTCCGCAAAAATATAATGCCAGACTCCAATTTCACAGGAACCAGTTTATCGAAATTTATCGCGCTAGATTTTTGCAGAATGAATAATTATGGCAATAAGTAATACATAAATGCTTCTCTATAACTAGCGTGGCGAGCAGAAGTAAATGTCTATTTTACGACGGGTAATTACCTCGAAAATTTCTTCATATTACTTCAAATAAATGTCTTCAATGGAAAAGTCATTTTATCTGTTTTATGGAACATTTTAATGGAAAAGTCATTTTATCTGTTTCATGGAACACACGATTTTATTTGTGGAACATGAGAGATTTTAATTTAATTTTGACATCTGTGAACGGGAATTTTGAATTTTTTATGTTTTTTTTTAGGCAGAGAGCATGTGACAACTGAAGTGTGAGAGTTATCGAAATTTACGATGAAATCGATAACGAAATCGAACAGATTCGAAACCGAAGGCGAATGATACACACGTACCCAGGTGTGCGGAGCAATTTGGTGTCCTTTGAACCGTTTAAATGTATAAAAATATTTTCTTTCAATGTCAAAGATATCAATATTAACCGAGTCAGCGAACTGTCACGACGTTAAGAGGGAAATCTTCTGCGTTAATACTACAAATTAAATATTTGAAGAGATATCATTGGCTGTGTTCTCCAGAAGTTAGCGCTTAATAAGCGCTTTATGCTGATTGGATAGATCTAGAAGAATAGCTCTATTTCAGCACAGATCTGAAAGTATAATCCAATGAACGCAAAGCGCTTAGCAAGCGCTAACTTCTGCTGGACACAGGCATTGCTCCATTAAATTAGAAATGGAAGAATATATGAAATCGACGATTTGTGTTCAGCATAAACGTGGGATTGACGATCTCTCAATTTATGAGGGATCTACGGTACGAGTCTTAAAGCCTCGTCTGGAAGTCGTAAAGTCGTAGTCGTAAGAATAGTCGACTGTGATTGGTCAATTCTTATGTGTCTGACGAAATTGACCAATCGCAGTCGATTATTCTTACGACTACGACTTCTATGTAGACGAGGCTTTATGCGAGGACTATAAGGCCCGGTTTCACCAACGCGAGTTAATCTAATCGGTCCGTTAACTTAACAGGGTGCCAACATAAAACTTCTTTATTAACCTATTTTCTTGGTTAATAAAGAAGTTTTATGTTGGCACCCTGTTAAGTTAACCGACCGATTAGATTAACTCGCGTTGGTGAAACCGGGCCTAACAATGCGACTCTGCGACCCGCATTGTAGTCCTCGCATAAAAGCGCGAGACTCGCACTGTAGATCCCTCATAAATCGAGCGTTTCGATTGCGCATACGGGCGCTTCTTGCCAACTTTCTCGGTTTGTCGAAGACAAGTTCCCTTATTATCTATCCATTAATTTTATCGTCTTTTCACCATTGGAAAATTTCAACCACTCCCAACGATCTATCGGCAGCATTTTCTTCGCTCCACTTGGTCGTTGCACTCTCCCCTAATAGCACAGAAATATTTTAAAAGGTTAAATATATTTTAAAGTCTTTTTAAAATACTTTATAAATATTTTAAAATATATCGAATCTTTTAAAATATTTCTGTGCTATTAGGGTCGTAGGCGGGTCCCTCGAGGGCACCTACCTCAGCACGTCGCGATACGGCAATGGAGTGCATCGAGTAGACTTTACAAACCAACAAATGAGAGGCGAGACTCCCCTTCCACTTGGCTCCCGTGTTGTTATGGTGGACCGCCTTTCCCGCGCGGCCGTGCGCCCGTTAACCGTTTCCCGCCAAAGTCGGCTCAACAATCGCCCGAGACAGCTGGTCGCAGGTACCGTGTAACTAGTACCTGAGCCGGGTACGGCGTGGAGTTGACGCGCAAACTAGCGCGTTAAGTCGTCCGTTCGCCTCTACCGTGTTCCCTCGCTCTCTCTCGGTCGTCGCCCGCGTCCAGCCCAGACATTTTTCCCCTTCTTCGCCTGATAACGGAGACCTTTATTTCGTGGAGCATGTCCTTCAAAGTAAAAACCACCGACGGAAAGAGGGAAATATCGGTGAAGCTCACGAAGCTGACCACTGTGGAAGATTTGAAGGTAAATCGCTAACCGCTCGTTCTCGTACGCCGTACGTGAAATACGAGACTCTAGGCCAGTTACTGGTAGTAAGCGGTAATTTATCGCCGATCGTTCGTCGCTGATTACGGAGAATCGTCGCGGAGCGAAACTTTATACGCGTCCTCGGATATTTCAATCCTTTGATTGCAAAAGGCATTGGTACATTAATTCTCTTTAAATAAAATAGATATTCTCCGGTTATCTTAAAGTCAACAAATAACATTCTGGAGTGATAAATATTCAAGTATCAAGTTCAAACCCAGTGAGAAATGATTCGTCGAACGATGTCGTATCGACATCGATCAACGAATCATTTCTCACTGGGAACAGTAGTGTGCGTGTGTGTAATCGCGCGTGCATTCCATCGAGATATAACTTGTTGATCGACTAGTCGTTTCCGGCTGGGAAACCTAGCAGCACAGTGCATGGACCAGACATAGGTTAAACATCAAGCCAGTGTCAAACGGTCCCTGATAGCACAGTGCCAATGGCCAGTGCCGGTTTTAGCAACATTGGCGCCCCGAGCAGGATTATCGTGGCGCCCATTCAAAGTCAAGGGCTTGAAATTCTTGCGAAAGGAGAGACAAGGTGATAATATCGTACGACGAGCTCCATTTTGGTTTTGTATTTTAGGGAATCTCTCGCTCGCAAACTAAGTGAAACCAGGCAGCGGCGCCCCGGGCGATCGCCCGACCGCGCCCCAACGCCGATACCGGCATTGGCATTTTGAGGGCAAACTTCTGGAGGAGTTTTAAAGCAAATACGGCAGCTTGCACTAGTGTGCACACCGAGCGCACACCAAGGCAATGATACAAGTTTTAACTCGCTGCCACAGTCACAATGGTGGTGGGGGACGTGGGCCAAAAACCCCCTGTGCAGAGACTCGAGCGTGAACTCGCGAAAAGTGAAAACTTTCACCGACAAATGTTGAATTCGTTGATAGAATTCGCGAGTTCACGCTCGAGAAAAAGACCCGTGGCCGAGCCCCAGCTCGACGAACGCCGTGCGGCATGGGGAAACATGGGAACCGTCAACAAACGAGGTTCTGGAATAATAAATATTCAAGTATCAAGTTGAAAAAGTAGCGGTGCATCAAGGCTTGTTCAGCGTCTGCTCTTATATTTATGGTCGTCTGGAGTACATGTCGAAAAACTATTTAGCCGAAAAGACGATCCGCACGAATGTTGTACAGATCGTTTTACTGCACACAAAAAAATATATACTACCTGCAAATATTATTTGTTCCGAGTATTTGATAAGTTTATATATCCACAAATCTATCGTAATGTCGTCGCAAGTGTTATATTTACTCAAAACATTCTGGTTCTTAGTAAGTCTAGTACTTCAAACAAGAACACATAGAATTATTTGAAGCAAAACAATTTTGTTTCTTCTGATTTTATTAAGCATACGGAATTCTTCAATAAGTTTTATAATTTTCTTCAAAGAAGAATAAATTCTTTGAGTATAAGATGGCAAGCTTTTCTAAGACTAGTAACAAGTATATCTTAAAAGTATTATTAAGAAAATATTCTTCGTTGAGGCAAACTATTACTTAAACGGAATAAAATAAACTGAGTAATTACTTCTCTTGACTGTACAATAATATTTTTCTGTGTGTGGCTGAAAGGTATTTCGAAAGTATTCAAGACGATCCTTAAATATAAGAATTGACTGCAAACAAGCCTCGGTGCGCACTAGTGCAAGCTGTTGATTTCGCTAGATTACTTCCTACATTCCACTTTTCAAATTGTAATGCAAATTTTACTACACCGAGTTCTTTGATGCATGCGACGTGCGATAATGTAGACGTGGTAGCGTATATTATAATAATGTAAAAGTGGAAACGTGTGTGATGAGAAACGCGCCACGCAACGTGTCTCAGATAGAGATTAGCTGGTAACAATGCTTATTGGCACTTGTATTCATTACTTTCATGTCGGCGACATTTTGTCCAGTTTTGTATATTGATTTAATACCGTGAGATTAGCAAGGACGTTGATATTCGCTGAAATCTAAGATTTAGTCTGTAATTATCGCTTCGCAAAATACATGATTTACTTTGTCTTTCAGCGCGAGGTTGAAAAACGGCTGCACGTTAAGGAGGACTTGCAACGATTGTTCTTCGCCGGGAAGCAATTGGAAAATGGCTATCACCTCGATAATTATAACATAGCTTTCAATGACATCGTGTTGCTTATGGTGAAAGCCAAGGTAAATAATGTTGAGAGAAAAAGTTCCGTCGGTGAAGAAAGCACAAAGGAGAAGGAAGATGGCGAGCAGGAGGAGGAGGAAGAGGAGGAAGCTGAGAGCTTGTATTACAAAATTGGAGACGCGGTGGATTGTAGGGAGGAGAGAACTGGTGCCTGGTTCGAAGCTATTGTAAAATTTATTTATAAAAAAGGAGACGAAACGTTCTGTAAGACATTTTGGGAGTTTGATCAGGTGATACCTCCTTGCAATGTACTTGAGGCTAATGTGCGACCGCGCGCGCGACGCTCCATAACGGTCGACGAATTATCGGTTGGTCAGACAGTCATGATTAATTATAACACAGATGAGCCCGACAAAATTGGACTGTGGTACGACTTTACGATATCCGAAATAATCAACAAAACGAGGAGGTGCACGCTGGCTGGGCGATTGCACATAGGGAGGTACGTCTGTTCTGCCGATTGTTACCGTGTCGGTATACAGGGTGTTAAAAAAAAGAAGGTTCATAAGTTGCAAGGTAGAGCGTAGTGAGAGCAAAAATCCTGAAACAGGTCGAAAAATTAATATTTTCAGTGTTAGAAACAATTATTTATTTTGACTAAGATAAATTCCGTTTACTACGGGAGAAGAAAGAAGAATTTTTCAAACTCTACAGTTTATAGATGGTTTTCTACGTGTCTTCCCATTTCCACACAGGCTTCACACCACCTTGGTATCGTAGAACTGTTTAAAGAATTCCCGGTTGTTTGTAGGAAAATATTAACTTTTCGATCTACGTTTATTGAGATTAGCTTACTTCATTTCATGAGTACTACCTACCCTTTAAAGTCCTGAACCCTTTTTTTTAACACTGTACAAGGCAAAGTGATAAAATACAAAGCGTAGAATCCATTTAAAATTATTGAACAACTTTTAATTGACAATAACCGTTTCTCCAAACAGTGACAGCGCGATTAACGTCCGGACGGAAGTCAAAGAAACCATATACGCAATAGAAACACCTAAGTTATTAACAGCTAGAACTGCAGAAGACGAACAGTTCATGATAAGTAGCGGCAAAAAGAGAGCTGTGGATCCTGCTTGCAAGGAGTGCAATGACAATCCTAACAGTGACTGTCGATCGTGCGGCTGTAAAATCTGCGCAGGCAAGGAAGAGGAAAACACGCTTCTGATTTGCGACGAGTGTGACGATATGTTTCACATGAAATGTCTGACTCCACCGCTTCTGGAACTGCCGCAGGAGGCTTATTGGTACTGTCCTGAATGTAAAATCGACGAAAATGAAATAGTCAAGGTACGTGCATTCTTATCAATAATTTGCCGCAGTCTTCATTATCGTTGCTACCGCTATTTTCTATTAGGTGGTAGACTTTGTTTCCGCGGTGTTTTTTTTTGTTTAACAAACTCGTTTATTTCGATATCAAAAGCAAAAAATACATCAATCAAAGTATTTGCCCTCGCTAGTTATACATTTTTCCTATCTTTCCGGCAATGAGTGGATTCCGCAACGTGTGGTCGAGCGTTGTCATGTAATAAAGTAATTTAACAACTGGCCAGTTGGGTTGACTATAAGTTTCCCGTCTCAATCTTTTACCACCTAATATGCATATTCGTTACAGGCAGGGGACAAACTGAAAGGAACGAAAAAGAGACCCATCCGAAAAACTGGCGAAAAAGAACGAAATTGGGGTGGTGGAATGGCTTGCGTTCGGAGGCAGCAAATTTGCTACATAGTGCCCGAGAATCATTGCGGGCCAGTTCCGGGTGTGGACGTTGGTACGACTTGGAAGTTCAGAATACAGGTGAAGGAGAATTTTGGATTTCTACGTGGTCCGTCGATAAACTTGTCGAATGAATATTGAGAGAGAGCTGTTTGTTTAGGTTTCGGAAGCGGGAGTGCACAGACCGCCCGTAGGCGGCATCCATGGACGAGCAAACGACTGCGCGTACTCTATCGTTTTATCGGGCGGATACGCTGGGGACTACGACAATGGTGATGAGTTTCTGTACAGCGGCTCGGGTGGTAGAGACTTGTCAGGTATGTGAAATGAAAAAAAAATTGCATTTACCTGTAACTCCATTACAGAACTCTATGGGCGGTACGCATGGTCAGATCTTGTATTTCAGATGGTCTTAAGATTATCTTTAGATCCTCTGTAGCCAATAAAATGTTCCATTAGCATCTTTAAATTTACGATAGTCTTGCGTTCTGACTACGAATGCCGGCCCAGGTGCGCTCAATGCACGCGCTTGCGGATGTTTGTGCGTACATTCGTGTGTTACATGTTTTTTTTATGGATACATAGGTAACAGGAGAACCAACTCACAGAGCAAGGACCAGGAGCTAAACAGAATGAATTTGGCACTGGCTAGGAATTGCAACGCTCCTGTGAACTACGAAGACGGCGCGGCAGCCTCCAAGGACGACTGGAAGAAGGGAAAGCCCGTCCGAGTCGTACGAAATTACAAATTAAAGAGTACTTACGCACCGGCGGACGGGAACAGGTACGTTGAACGCACTTGTACTTCTGTAAGTAATAGATAGAACGAGTTTTCTTTAACAATTCTTGGTCTTGTCACAGATATGATGGTATATATAAAGTGGTTAGATACTACCCGACCAAAAGCTACGGCTTTCTCATGTGGAAGTACGTATTAAGACGGGACGATCCCACGCCAGCGCCATGGACTAAGAAAGGAAAAGCGAGAATCGATTTTCTTGGCTTGAAGCTGTTGTATCCTGCTGGATATCTCGATTCGACGGAATCGTTTAGTCAAAGCGGAGGTAAGAAACGAGGCAACAGCAGCAATACCGATGACAGTGGCGAAGAAGACAACGCCGTGGCCGTGAAAAAGTTCAAGAAAATTAAGTGTGCCTTTGATCTGGATGACGAATTGAAGTCCTTAATAAAAGATGATAAGGTAAATGCTAAATTGTGGGCCGACTGTAAAGCGACTTTGATCGATGGGAAACCCGCCTTCTTGAATTGCGTCTCGGAAAGGTAATATTCTTTATAGAAAACGTTAGGTCTTTTTCATAATGACTTAGGCCAACGGCACACGATACTATTTTTCCTACTGGATTTGCTTGCGAGGCTTACGTGAACCAATAAGACTACGTTCGGCATTGCAAATCTGAGGCGACAGAGTGCTCCCTTTTCTTTTAAGTTCTACCCTTTTGTGGGAACGCCTTTCAACCATCAGATTACATCAGCGTGATATCTCTAAAAATTTCTTGAAATTCGTGCTTAATCTTGATTAAACACTGAATCCAACACTAGGCGCTTAAACTTCTTTAAGCGCGGAATTTTTGAAGTTTCCCTTGCGTTCGTGCGAGCGGGAGAGGTGTATGAAATAAGGAGAGAGAGGAAAAGCATTCCGATGCCCCAGATATGTAATGCCGAACGCAGGCTAAGGATGCAGAGTTTTAGATCAAGTGACTTGAGGCTATTTCCTGTCGTAAGCAATCCAGTAGGAAAAATAGTATCGTGTGCCGTTGGTTTTAATAATCGACCTCCGATACTTGACACAGTACAATTTTATACTTTGCAGATTTAAGTGTGTTTGCTGTCTCGGATTACTTTACAATCCTGTAACGACTCCCTGCGGGCACAACATCTGCTTGAAATGCTTAAAACAGAGCTTTGCCTCTGAACTTTATATCTGTCCTACATGTCGGTACAATCTAGGCAAAACTTACGAAATGACGGTCAATCAGACATTATTATCTGCATTACTATTAATTTATCCTGGCTACAAGGGCGAACGGTAATGTTATCTTCGTTCAATAACATATGAATTGCTGATTTGGTTTGTACGAGTTCAGTTTGTTCAAGTCATAAGGCTATATCGAAATTATATTGAATGCGTTTATCTAAGTTATAAGTGTCTAAGCCTGCGATCGGTTTTCGGTTGATTTTGTCGATACTGTCATTCGTATTTATTTCATAATATCTCTATCTTGGAGACAGTAGCCTGTATCCATGATACTAGGTCTCTGCTCAAGAAATGTATAGCCAATTTGCAACTTTGGGGATAAAGGTCAATTTTATTGGCTACGCATTTCTTGAAAATCTCGGATTAAAATCCAATATCGTGGAGAAACAAAGGACTTCAGCTGTAAAGGATTTTGACGCGTTGTCACACAGGGATACAAGAGGAGTAGAGATGGCAGTAGGCAAAATTGATCGCAGTGTTAAAAATTTGAGACCACTCTAGTTGTCTAGATTTTGTAGTGGAGAAAAATTGACAATTCTAATTTGGAAGTTATATTTTTATATAGATTTCGTGAAACGTTACATACAGGGTGTCAAATTCGTTTGTGACCCAAAAATTATGGTAGTGATTGCATCAAACGGAAAGAAAAAGTTATATACCATTTTGCAAAATTCGTAATAATTATCGTGAGATTAAGAAAAACGTCTAAGCGAATAAGCGCACGGAGTAGCGGAAGGTCGCCGCTCGAGGCGGCGAGTAGGGAGGCACCGCTTAAACCCAATGTCCACGATGCTAGAACTTGGTCCAAGTTCTAGTTTCGATAAATGTGTGGCCAATCAACTTGCAGCTATTCCATAAAAGCTGCAAATCGATTGGCTATACATTTCTCTAGCATCGTGGACCCAGGCCTTTAAGCCCAATGTCCACGATGCTAGAACTTGGTCCAAGTCCTGGGTTCGAGAAACGTATAGCCAATAAAATTGCCGCTTTTCCGTAAAAACTACAAATTGATTGGTTACAAATTTCTCAATCCAAGAACTTGGTCCAAGTTCTAGCATCGTGGACACCGGCCTTCGCGCGACCGCTTGCACAGCGTCAACTTTTTCCATAGGTTTCCCTACACCTCGCCGCGCACCGCCGCGAACGGCGGCCAATAGGCGGGCGGACGCATCTCACCACGCGCTTACATTTGCCAGTAGGTCGGGCTAATATGGCGATTTTTTAACATTAATGTCTCGATAACTATTCCTCCATGTTCAAAATGGCACAGGACTTTTTTTGTTTGTTTTAGTCTCCCCTGTGACGTAATTATTTGCGGTGCAAATGATAACAATTTACAAATTTTTATTTGAAATTAATATCAAAATTGCTTTTTACGGTGCAAATTATTTGTGCGTGCACAGAGTAGGCGCAATAAATTAGCAAGGTGTTTTATACAAGTGTACGGAAATGATCAAAATTTTAGTTGAAAATCAAGATTAAAATTGCTTTTGCGGTGCAAATTATTTGTATGTGCGCAGAATAAGCGCAGTAAATTAGCAAAGTGTTTTATACAAGAGTGCGAAAATGATAAAAAATTTACAAATTTTAATCTGAAGTAAAGATTAAAATTGCTCTTACGGTGCAAATTATTTGTGCACAGAACAAGCGCAGTAAATTAGCAAAGTGTTTTATACAAGAGTATGAAAGTAGTTATATACGTAGATCAATATTGTAAGATTTTGGTTTGTCGCGGTATTTTACTTTAGAAATGCCTTGTTAAAAATTAAACCGGTACGTTCATTCTTATTGCGTAACAAATTTATACTGTCCGCGAATATAAACGATGTATGTGCGCATAACGCAAGACTGATATCACTTATTGTTGGCACGTCTTAATATCCTGATGTAAGTTGGAAGTTTGCAGTTTTTAATGCAACTCTCACGTTTCATAGATCATGACATATTATCATTTTTATTTTTATTTTAACGCAACATAGCTTCTGTAAGATACAAGCGACGTAATGTGTTCGCCGATAGATAATTGAATTTTATTTTAACGCATGTCGATTATACTTAATCGCTTTTATCTAGCGGTGGCACCGCCTCGCTGATCCACTTTAGGTAATCGGGGTTGCCATTGTGTATCTGAAATATGAAAGTTTCAAAGGTTTTAGTATTTAATCACGAGTTCATGTATCTTGTATGTATCCAATATTATTATATGTATCATGTTCAAATTATGAATGTATTGTTATGCCTTGTCTCTCCCCCGTGTTCAAAATGTAGGTATTAAAAATCGCGTGGCGCTCGTCCAGCGGAGCGAGACACGCGAATCAACTTACAGGCAGGGAGATCACTTCGCAAACCGTGTACGGATGATTCTTTCTGCAAAAAGATCAAGTTACAAAAGCTGCCGCGATTCTAACAACGAATGCAACAGTCGCGTTCAACTCACATGACGTACTGCGTCAGAGCATCCACTGTCTCCGTCCTGGTTTTTATCATCTGCAATTCACGCATAGACAGACGGTCAGTAACAATTTTATCTCTGCGCGACTAAACTCGGCTCAACAGATCTTTTTCCTACCAGCAGAAGTTCAGGCTCCTCCTGTATCTTCCCTTTCCACTCGTATCTGCGGAGGCAAGAATCTTGGTCTTTACAGTGAAAGGTACATCTCGCGCAGACTGAAAGTCTTCCCTGGGAAGACGTATTTGTAAACAGCGAGAGAGAGAGAGAGAGAGGGACTTACATTGAGGTGATCCGCGGGATGATGTTTACGCAGGCAGCGAGCTTGTTCTCGACCAGACCGCTTCGTGAAAGAGAAAGAGAGGTTGAGGAATTACTCGTCACCAAGGCGTAACGATAATTAATGCTAACGAGCGCGCATTTTATCCAGCCGGTTTGCTGCTCTTACCGCGCCAAGCTCTTGGCAACCGCGTCGTCCGGCACCGTGACGTACGCCACGGAGTGTACTCCGCAGTCAACGTCCGCGGCGGTCGACATGTTCTGATGGGCCTGGGCGCGAGCGGTGCGGATACCCCTCGCTATGCAAAGCAGCATCAACGCGGTCACGGCAGAGGCTCGCGTCGCGCACCGCATCTGCCAGCAGTCGTTCCTCTTGGCGTCGCTGGAGAGCCGGTAAACAACCTCGTCGGATCAAGTCGCGCCGCGGTGTCCGCACGAGAAACGATCGATAACTGTCGAACGCGCAGACCGCGCGGGTCCACGTGCGTAGGTTTACGCGGCGCGCCGTAAATGAAAAATACAAAAAGGTGAAGCGGAGTTTATCGCGAAGACGCCGCGAGCTCGGGAGGCGAGAACTCGCGTCCCCGCTCGGGAATCGCGATTCGTATCGGGCAAGAAGCCGCGTTCTTCCCGGGATCCTCCAAGATTCCCGTTGTATAACGATTTCGTGTATTTAGACGAGAGCGTACACTATTGGCTTCATCCATTCTCTGTTACTTTAAAAAGGGACAAACGTGAATTAGCCATTTCATCGAGCATCGCTTGACTTTAATCTTGATTAATTCACGTTCGTTGTCTCTTTCTAAAGTAACGGTCGAGAAGAGGCGAAGGACGAGTTGAGCGAATTTTAACGTTGGTGAAACCGTCGATCGCTGATCAAGTTGACCGGAGTTGAGTCGCCCGAAAAGGACTGATCGAGAGATAATTTGAAACCGTTAGTCAACGAGATATAAAGTAAATTATGTAATAAAAAAAGGTTCTCGCGATCGCGACCTCCCGGAAGACGCGAGGTCGCTTAAATTTCCTCCGTGAGAAACACTCGTCCCCCGACGATCTCTCATCGCCGCGCGCTCTCACGCGTACAAATGCACGAGGATGATTAATTCTCGCGTGAAACGGAAGACAAATACCTTCCTTACCCGCCGTACGTTAAAGTGAAACGAGCCGCGCGAACGAACGGACCTTCGCGCGCGCGCGCACACACGCATACACGCGCGCGCAACCCCTCTCACGTACGCGGCATCATTCATTGCGGTGGCATAGGTAACCTTGAAAAGGCCACCCTCGGAGCGCTGCTACTTTAGTCCGCCGAGTCCGCCGGGAGTTTACTCAGCCTCCAGCGGCGATCGGAGCTGGTCCTCGATGGAGCGTTGATAGCGGCGGCGCGCGAGACGACTCTCCCACGGCACGGATTCTCAGGCGCGCCGCAAAACTCCACGGAGAGAGAGAGAAACGGGGGAAGAGAGCGCGCGCGGTGCGTCGTTGATCGCCGTCGGCTCCGTCGCTGCGCGAAATGTCATCGTAGGAGGGAACGGAGTCGCCCGGGTCGGTGACTTGTCGGCGCGTCTACGCGGCGGTTTGCAGGTTATATACGTCGGCGCGGCACGTCCCGGCGGCTGGCGGTCCCCGCGAGGATGCCGAGGGGCTGAACGGTCGTCGCTGAAGGTCGGCGGGTACCCCGGGGGTGGGCGGCCAGCATGGTGCAGCGTCCGGTCGCGCCACGGCGCAACGTCAGGATACTGCTGATCGGCGAGCGCGGCGTCGGCAAGACCTCCCTCATACTGTCCCTGGTGAGCGAGGAGTACGCGGAGGAGGTGCCGAGCAAGGCCGAGGAGATCACGATACCGGCGGACGTGACGCCGGAGCAGGTGCCGACGCACATAGTCGATTATTCAGGTAGGACCACTCCGTGTTTCTCATCCGCCGCGCCTCGCACAGCGTGCCCTTTGCGCCTAGAACATTCTATTTCGGACAGGCAAGCCGGCAGGCTTAAAAGAAAAGTTGGACAACGTACCGTTGTACGATTCGTCAACTTGCGCGAATTTTTTAAACGCGCTCCTGCAAAGTGGAATGTTTGCGGACGCGAGGGGCGCATTGGTGGGCTTTGGAGATAATCGAGACGCGCAAATACGATTGAACGAGCTGCCGGTGAATTTCTCGTTGCTCGTATTTTCCCTCCGACTGTCCTGTATCGGGGCGAAAGAGCGATAAAGTTGGCGTCGTGTTTGCAGCGGTGGAACAAACGGATGATCAGCTGACGGAGGAGATCCAGAAGGCGCACGTGATATGCGTCGTTTACTCCGTGGACGACGAGGATACGTTGGACAGAGCTGCCAGCTACTGGTTACCTTTGATCAGAAGATGCTCGTCCGACAACCGGTGCCCGGTTGTGCTGGTAGGCAACAAGATCGATCTCGTGGACTATTCTACCATAGAGGTACGTGGGAAGACGTCGGATTTTTAAGGAGAGTTTAAGTAGCGTCCCCTCGTCTCGCGCCGTATTTATTAACGACCCTCTCTTTTGCAATTCCAGGCAGTGTATCCCATAATGAAAGAGTTCACTGAAATTGAAAGCTGCATAGAGGTAAGACGCCGTTTGGTTAGACGAGACAAGTGGGAGAAACGTACACGGGAAAGTAACGCGTCTCTTTTTTTTTCAGTGCTCGGCGAAAACGCTTCAGAATGTCTCGGAAACATTTTATTATGCACAAAAGGCGGTTCTGCACCCGACTACACCTTTGTACAATTATGACACACAGGAGGTGAGGCGTCTGCCACAGTTTACCTTTAATTCGAATTCAATCTGCTACAGTTCTAACCCGATCGTTGTTATTCCAGCTCACGGAGGAGTGCAAAACTGCCCTCCAGCGAATTTTTAAAGTGAGTACGTATTCATAAACGAGAATCGATACGACGACGTAAACTGTACTGTTTCTCTTTCCCGATGCAGATATGCGATGTAGATAACGACGGACTTTTAAACGATATAGAGCTGAACGCGTTTCAGCAGTGGTGCTTCAACACTCCGTTACAACCGCAGGTGCTGGAGGACGTGAAAGCCGTGCTGTCGAAAAACATCTGCGACGGTATATGTAACGGGTGTGTCACGATGAAAGGTGGGTATTTTCACTCGTTCCAGCCTGTCGAGCCCGTACGAGTGTACCGCGAGCTTAGTTAATCGCAATTACGCACGCAGGTTTTATGTACTTACAATGTTTATTCATACAACGCGGGAGGAACGAAACGACTTGGGCTGTGCTAAGGAAATTCGGATACGATAACGAGCTGCAAATGTCAAAAGAATATATCTATCCTTCGTAAGTATAAAGGTCGCCGAGCCACTTAAAGATTCTCTCGATATGTCACTGATGCGCGACTAACTCCGGTGTTTCAGACTGAAGGTCCCGCTCGGCTGTAGCACGGAATTGTCGCACAAGGGACAGGAATTCCTAACGTTGCTGTTCATGCAGCACGACCGCGATCGCGACGGGGCACTCTCGCCCTTGGAAATGGAGTCGTTGTTCTCGCGATGCCTCCTCCCGCCGTGGGGCGACGAGTACAAGTACACTGTGCCCACGAACGAAAAGGTTACCGCTCGCAGTCCGCTATTTTTAGAACCTTGAACTATAGAATAAGTTGCTGTAGAATATCAAACGACAAGAAACTTGTATTTGTGCTGAGCAACCGGAAACTATCACGTAGCGACATTCGAAGGTGACTCGATTCTAGCGTAATGCGTGAACGTGCGATGTTTCCCGCAGGGATGGATCACGTTCCAAGGGTACATGTGTCAGTGGGCATTGCTCACGCTGACGAACGTGCGTAAAACCTTGGAATACATGGCATACCTGGGATACAACATGTACCACAACGAGTGCCAAACGAGCGCCGTTGTCGTGACGCGCGAGAAGAAGGTGGATCTGGCGAAGAAGCAGTCCAGCAGGAATGTTTACACTTGCCACGTCATAGGGCCGAAGAGCAGCGGGAAGACTACATTGTGCAGGACTCTCGTCGACCCTAAGCTCGAAGTAAACTCGTTGACTGCATTTTAACTGTGACACTTAAACTTTGGACATATTTTTGTATCATTGCGATTTTTACATAAGTCAAATTTCACCATACCCGGCGCTGGCTCTCATCGCCCCTTTACTATTACATTTTAGCTTTGTACAGAGCCCTTCGTTTCCTATTAATCGTTGATTGCAATCGCAAACTGTCGTATCTGTTTATTGCAGATACTGAATGACAAAGTGGCTCTCATCGCTCCTTTACTATTACATTTTAGCTTTGTACAGAACCTTTTGTTTCCTATTAATCGTTGATTAAAGCTGCTCGGGAACCTCGACCAAACTGTCATACCTGTTTATTGCAGAAACTGAATGACAAAGTGGTGCCGTCGAACGCCCACGTCACTATAAACACGGTGCACGTGTACGGGCAAGAGAAGACCATAGTATTGAAGGATATAAACGTGCTGAACGTTCAGGACGCCTTGACGCCGGCGGAGATACAATGCGACGCGGCCGCTCTGGTTTACGACGCCAGTAACTCGAAGTCGTTCGAGTACATAGCGCGCATTTACATCGTAAGCATCGCGCCCTATCGCGTACAATAACTAAAATGTATCCACGAACGACATGTGCGCGCGTCTTTGCAGAAATACTTCGCCGACAGTAAGATTCCTGTTCTGATAGTGGCGAACAAAAGTGACCTTTCCGAGGTGAAGCAGAGCTATCTGTTGCAACCGGCCGCCTTCTGCAGCAAGTACAAACTGATGCCTCCGCAGCCGTACAGCATCTCACGGACGATCCGACGTGAGATCTTCGTCAAGCTAGCTACGATGGCAGCCTTCCCGTAAGTTCGCTTGTCATCCGTTTGAGAGAAACGGATTATTAACGGGACCGCTGACGGACAGATCTCGGGCCTCCTCCGATTTACAGGCAGTAGATATGACAGTTTTCCTTTCTAGCTCAAGTACCAGAGAGTATCGCGCGATTACGCTCTTAGAGCTTTTTCGCTTCTCTCCTCTTTCGTACGATATGTTCCACCGTCAAGTTACTTTCAGACAATAGACTTTTACGTTTCGCACCGCACCCTCTCCTCTCGTTCCTTTCGTACAATTTAATTTAAGCAAAGACAGCGTAGTGTTAAAGAAGAAACAGAGGGGAAAAGGAGATTGTTCGGTATTAACGATAAGATATTTCGTGTTTAGCCGCTTTCAAGGAGCGTGGGTATTATTTTACCGAGACAGGTTGGTCCGAATTTCAATTTCACACTGTAAAAATCTAGAAGCTTGAAACAAATCGTGACTACTGCATTCAAACATTCCGTCATCGTACATTCCCCTCGATGCATGCGCTCCCACCGGGATTAACTCCATCCTCTCACGTTAAATGTGCCGGGCGATTCGCTCGTGTTAGATATATGCGATCGCACGGATAAAACGTTACACGTAATGACGTAATTGGCTCTTTTTCCAGCCACATGAGGCGTACAATCCACATGTTGCTTATCGATTCCTTACCTCCTCCGTGGTGGAGTTCTTTCACAAGGTTTTACGTCATATTACTGCTTGCGTTTCCTCCTCGCGGCGCCCCGCATTGAGCCGTGTCATCAAGCTTATCAGCGTACATACCGCTTTTTCTTCTTGGTTTCGTTCAAGCATGTGCATGCGACACGCAACGAATCTCTCACGAAACCCTCTGCCGACTCATACCGCTTTTCCATGCATAGAGATACCCTGACAGGAAAGGCTTCCCTCGTCGATTAACGTCCATCTCTACCAACGTAGATTACATACCAATCTCGGCTTAACTTACTTTTCATCTTCTTCTAGTTCTAAGAAAAAGGTCTTTTCTAGCTATTAGAATTCTTCTTTCCTAGTTCTTCGAAAGAGATCAAAAGTTGGGCCGAGATTAAAGCTACATTGATAGAAGCGGACATTAACGTCACTTGTATGATAAAACTTCATTGTCAGCTTTCCATCAGAGAATTCTCACCTCGACATTTGTGCCTCTGTGTTGTTCGCTGTGTATAATCAAGGCGCTTTGCGCGAGTGCGACAGTGTGGTTTTATCATGCTAGAGCATTCAGAGCGTTCTCTCCCGCGCGGCGAAAATAACAGCGGATCTTGGACGTTTCAGGCACATAAATCAATTCGGCCTAATGCAAGGGGACTCCCTGGTCTGGTGGAAGGCGGGACTGGGGATCGCGATCGCCACGATCGCCGGCTACGTGATGATGCGCGTGCTGAATACGGAGAAAAGATAGTCTACCATATTTTTCGTGCTACTTGTGCGTGTTTTAACTGCCTCTCCTTGTCAAATAAAGCGAAAGCCGGATTATAGATAACCGCGTTACATAGAACGAGTATATAATATATATTCATAAAGCACACACACACACACACACTAATTTTCGAGATATACAATAGCTAAGTATTAGAGAACTACGATAAAGTGCAAATACTTTTGCGTAGAGGCGCGCTTACTTGGTTCTGGTCAAAATACCCGAGTTTTTATTTGTCGAATTCCCCCCCTTCTCCCCCAATGTATTTCATCGTGTAAGAGTTATTTTCATCCTCTGTAATAAATTATTTGTTTAATGTATTGTAATATAAAGTGGGAAAACTGTCTATTTCTTGCTCATTGCGATCAATCTTACTTTCACGGTTGCGTATTCTCGGAAACTGATGCGACTCTAAGAGACTCGTGATTCTCAACGCGAAACTGTAAAATAGTAATTTTGCGCAAGCTTCAATTTATTGAAATCGTGCTACGTTTGTGACGACTTGCGCCCACGATGCTAGAACTTGGTTCAAGTTTCGAGAAATGCGTAGCCAATCAACTTGCAGCTATTCCATAAAAGCTGCAAGTTGATTGGCTACACATTTCTCGGAACTTAGAACTCGGACCAGATTCTAGCATCGTGGACGCAGGCGTTAACACACGTCCTCGCGCACAAGTCGGTAGAGGATTAGAAGGGGCAGCTGGCTGCAGGATTTGAACAAACATAATTTATTGCTGTCCTAAAACTGTATCCTATGACATGTGCGGATCAGAAATCCGGGACTATTTTATCTTACAATATATCAATGTGTAACAACGGTACAAATAAACAGAAATTTCGTTAAATGGTCTACAGGATCGTACAGCACGTACTTCAATTTCGTCTAGACACCTCTAGATTCGCCCCGTCTCAATTTACATGATATCTGAAAGCAAGAAGAGCGAGAGAGAGACCATGACAACAATACCCAGAAGAGATAAGATAAGTGGCAACAACAAAGGGAGCAGGATCTACTGACTGTTGGCCATCTTGCATTGACGGAGCGCCTCGTTGAAGCCCTCGCAGAGGCTCAAGTCGGACTGGTTCTGGGCGCACTCTAGGAACTGCTTGACCTCCCAGGAGCAGGCTCCGGCGGCTGGGGCCGCAGAGCCGCTGCCCGGAGTAGCGGCCTGCGGCGCCGCTGCGACTTCAGCTGGGGCCTCGCTGCCTCCGCTGAAGAGTCCGGTCATCGCGTGGCCGATGGTGTGTCCCACGGCGGATCCGATGGCGACACCACCGGCGGTGGCGGCCATTTGGCCCATGAGGGACGGCTGCTGCGGCTGGGCCACCATGGGTGACGCCGGCGGGGCATGGGCCGGCAATCGGGACGGGGCTGGCGCTGGCGCGCTCCTCACCCTGAAACGTGTCCGGTTTTCGTGATATTGTTCGCCGACGTTCATTCAATGTCCCGCGCGAGAAAACCTGCCACGCTCGCTCAGGGACTCGATCGTGAATCTTTTTCGCGAGTTCACGCTAGAGAAAAGGATCCGCGATCGAGCCGCTGGACTGAGATCTGTGTTACACGTCGGGGAAAGAGAATGACGCGCTTTCAGCGTGCGAGCGGACGCAGGCGGACGTAGCCCCGAGACGACGAACGGTGAACTTTGTGACGAACATGATGTAACGAGGCAGCACTAATGACGATCTCGTTGCGACGCAGTCACAGTCGTCGTCGGACTACGTTAATTACTCACGTTCTCGGCGGAGGAGCGGCGGCACGTCCACGTCGCGGCATCTTTTCCTCAAAATTCTTGGCCTCTCGGTCACCACGTTGCGAAAATACCCGGAGGAAGACTCGACAAAGATTCCGCTCTCTGCGCACTACACTGCACCCGCTCGCTCGACCACGGCGGACTCAACTAAGGTAGAGACGTGCTGCGCAGTCAGTCGTGAAACGTGAATGCCTGTGTCGTGATCTGTCACGAGTTGTACGTCAGCTCGCGCAATCGGAATGACGGCGAGGGCTGTTGTTCCTCGAAATTTCCGCCACCGTCGACTGTGACTTTCTCCCTCTAAAAATATATCGGCGCTATTAATAAGAGCCACGAGACACTCCGCATTTTCGCGAGTCAGCGCGAGAGACTCACGTGATCGCGCCGGGAGGTCCGGGGGCTTGCGCGATAAACCGCGCGAGCGACGCGATTGGCGGCTCCATATTGATCGATCTCGCTTGTTGGAGAAGAGAACAGCTAGGGACTCGATTCTCGAATTCGTTCCGAGAGGAGAGACGTGTGCGAAAATTCCGCTCCTGCAGAAAAGTGGCAAGTCGATTGGCCGCTCGCTTGATTTTTCACCAATCGACCTTCAACTTTTCTGCGAGAGCAGAATCTTCGCGTACTACGTCTCTCCTTCGAATGAATTCAAGAATCGATCGCCCCGGGGGCCCGACTCTTTAAAGCCTCCGCTACAATGATTCTCGGTTCTGTCTACAATGGTCGTAGTCGTAGTCGCTCGATAAGAATTGACCAATCGCAGTCGATTATTCTTACGACTACGACCATTGTAGACAGAACCGAGAATCATAGGTCTAGTTTACACCGTTAAATCGGTTGGTGCGCACATCAAGTTGGTACGGACTAAACATTTGATACATCCCTGTTTACACCATTTCGTCTCAAAACAGGTTACATAGGTTAGATTTTTAATCTGGATAAAGTAAAATCAAACTTTTACCACAATATGCTAAACTGAACCATACTTCTAACCTCAATCTAGCAGGAATGCCGGGTATAATACGACCCGAATCGTAATCAAGCGTTTACAGCACCCTAAAATAT